GGTCTCCCTTGTTTGCCTAGCTAAGCGCACCCTGCCAAAGCTGAAAGGCGAAATTGACTGGGCGAACGACTCGACAGGCGGACTCGAACGGACGTAACACTGTATATGATCGCAGCATAGCCGAGCGAAAGCATGCTCCCCGTCTTGCGCACAATCTACCCCGTGCTACAGTCTCCCCCCCTGTACGGGCTGCGCAGGTCCGTGCAATTAGGCAATGCTCCGTGCAAGGGCCAGCATAGTAGGTGTATCGTTATCATCTGCGTCCGGTGCAAATTCTGCGTTAGGTGCAAATTCTTCGATTTCTGTTGGTAAATTCCGGGGAGGGACTGCATTCCCAATTAGATCGTGTCCATCCTCAGGCTTGGCTGGTGTAGTATATGGCCCTTGATAGTATCCGGCAGCAGAAGGAGTAGTTGTATTGCTCGGCGCGAGATTCTGGAGACTGGGCGCCGCCATTGCTATGCGCGGCCTTCCTTGACGGGGTTTGCTTCCCTGGGATTACTCTTGGACGTATTGTGTCAGGAGAAGAAGTAATTGTGTCGTCAGCATTTGCGACCAGCGCATTAGTTCTTCGGGCGGTACCTACCAGGGCGTAAATATAGGTTTGTGATCCCTGTCTACGAGCCAAGGTATAAGGGCCAGCAACATCGCGATTGGATTGCTGCATCTGAAGACCTGGAGTCGCGACCGTTCCCTCTTTGAAGGGTTTGCCGATTGCAGAACATCGATACGGCATGCTGTGAAGTCTGTTCCTGAAAGCAGGTCCCACCTCACGAAAGTCGATGTCAATGACGCGGCGAAGCCCCCTGGGCAGTACAGTAGTGACCCACGTTTTCACCGATGGCTTTTGACATGCTGGTTCCTGAAGTCTGAGGCACGCCTGGTTCCTGTCCAGGGCATTAGCTCTTGGCATCGGTCAGGACGGAGTCCCACGGTACTAGCAGGGATAGCCTGCCGTTCTAGCCAGCTTAGCACTCGAGGATATAGTACCCCGCTTTCGGTTACAATGCTGTGCATATAAGACGGTACTCTGAACCTTAAACAGTACTCTGAACCGTGAAATTTTGGCGCAACTGTCAAACACTCCCACTAGACCATCGGGGAAGTACTGGATTTAAAATCCGGTGATGGGTTTTGGAAGTCTTGAAAATATTTGATATATATGAATTTAAAAGTTCCTCCAAAAGTGGGGTTGCGGAGTGGCATCCGAGTTACGTTCCCCGGAGCTAGGGATGAGTTTGTTAAACACCAACCATGAAAAAGTCTCCGTCACTCAGAATCCATCTCCAGCATTAGAAAGTCTCCCTCCTCGCCAGCTAAGACCCTTTCGTCCGCGCCCTTGCTCCACTAGAGGTCTCCCGCCCCGTCCCATTTAGAGCATCGCGTGCAGCGGCTCGGCTCGAGCACTTCGGCCAAAAACCCCCCACGCTCTGCAAAGCATGGCTTTCTACCCCCAGCCCAGTACCTATTCTGAATATTGGCCAAACTCATACGTCAGATGATTTGCGTCTCGTTTCTGAGCATTGCAAAAGGCTAACAATACCCCAACGTCTCCAAGCCACCGATCCTCCGCCCATGCGGGCAAATTCTCCCTGCCGCCGCGAGGACATTCCCATTCTTGTAAATCTCCATCATCGCTCTCATTCTCATTATAGCAGACGTATGAAACGAAGGCTGTGATGACAAGATGAAGCAGAGACCGGGCAAGATGGGTCAAAGAGAGAACTTGGATCGAATGTAGCAAGTCACACAGCCAGTTTCCAAAGCAGTTATGATAGAATTCGGGCACACCCGTCTCTTTCACGCGGCTTCATCCCGCGATTTGATTTGTAAGTTTGCCACCACCGTATTGAGCTGGGTTCATACAGTAGCCTCTCTCGCACTGCGCCACGGCTCGGGTAGCCATCCGAAAACAGAAGTTAGCCAAAGGCTTCTTATATAGGCTCCCATCTCACTAGACTTCTCTGGACGATATTAATTATCTTATATTGGCGGTATTTTACACGCCACGCTACATTGCAACCACCGTACATTAATGGGAAGGACGTCTCCATGTTTGGGTATCTGCTGAAGAACATCCGCAGTGACACTCTTCTTATGGAAGGGCATGGGAAAGAGATCTTCCAGCAACTCGGTCATGCAGTGCTTCCTCCGCATGCTTGGAATGTTGCCACGTGAGACGTTGCCCAGGTGAGAGTCGAGACCACGAGTCCAAGCTCAGTTACCTTACTTTAGATTATCTCCAAGAGATTCACCACAAAAGACGGCGTTAACGTTCTGTACTTAAACCTTCGGCCTCCATTCTTCACACCCACCTTCGATCATCAAAACCACCTCTCCTCTATTTCCTATCAATTCCATTCCCACCTCCCTCCATCAACAGCACCTTGTATCTAGTACCCACTCTTCGACCACTCCTACAGTCCTACAAGATGCGTTTCACACTCCTCCCAGTGCTCGCCATTGGCGCCCTCACTCACCAAGTGACTGGCACTCCGGTCCCTTCGCATGCCTACGCCGTCGGTGTAGCCTGCTTGGAGCCCAACTTCGGCGGTGAGGCCATGCCTCTGTGGTTAGAGGGACGATTCCTCTGCACGAACATTGCGAGTAGCACCATGTATAAGAACATCTCCTCAGTCGCTATGTCCGACAAGTACTCGGCGTGTCAGTTCTTCACCGTCCCAGACTGCCCCGACAGCTTCGAGCGGTGGGAAGCACTAGGAGATCTGAAGTACCCTGCCGTTCCTGCTCAGTTTGACAATACTATCACCTCTGTCGCATGCGCGGCCAAGACGGTGAGTCTGGTTCAATACTTCCGGGCCGATGTTTCGAGTTTTCCTTGCATTCTGTGAGTGCGTTGTGCGGGTCATATGCTGATATCCCTTTAGAAAAAATCCACGCGTGGAGTCCAAGTCGAGTATCCTCTCCAAGATGAGTATGCCGCCCATCTCTACATGGGCCAGAACCTTTCTGGCGACAAGCTCGACATCCCCGTTGGTAACACCTGCATAAACCTCTCCGATATGTTTGGTGACAACGCCGTGCGCTCTCTGGTGGTCGTTAAGGGAAACAAGTGCGGGTTCTACGAGTAAGGTCGCTTCCTTAAAGGTAAATTAAGGGCAGTTAAGCTGACAAACGGTTTGATCGCAAGACTGCAAAGGCGATGGCTTCGAGTCTGGCGCGGGTGTCAAGAGCACGCTTAGTGCGGCGTTTGATCAGAAGCTCAGCAGCGTGCAGTGCTGGACCGTCTAGGCCGGGACCTACTGGTACTCTGGGAATTCTACGATGATGGTCATCTGACTTCGGTGCTTGCATGCATGTTACATGAAGTTATAGGATACCTATATCTCAATGTATTCCTATAGAATCTGACCAACCGAAAAAGTTCCACGAATTGAATCACTAACTTACTCAGCCTCTCAAAGCGGTCCAGATCTGGCCCTAGAACGGACGTTGAAATGGGACGGGACGGAAGTTGCAAAGGGAACAGGTCCGGTTTTGGACCTGCTTATGTAATCCTCCTCACAACAAACTCAACTCGCCATGCCCATTTAAGTCTTTAATTCAACGTCGTGCCGGGGGCGACGTCTTGTAGATACTTTTCATCTGATCCATTTGGCATATACTCAAGGAGACCATCCTCATGTTTCTGCACGAGACGAATTATTCTAGGATGCTCTCCCAAGGTTTGGAGTATCTGTTCTTCGACTTCTAGACCTCCCACGGCGGCGGCGAAGAACTACTGCAAGCGCCATATTCACGCGCACTACGGCGCGCAATGCACACCTCAAAATGGCAAGGTCGATGGCCGTCCGACGGCGACGACCAAGTCCGTTATCAAACCACAGAACACGGTCAAGCCAAAGGACAGCTCAACCGCCAATTGCAGGCGCAGCACCCCCTGTGTTATCTCAAGCACATCCACTCACCAGACACGCAGCATCACAAAAGATATTAGGAAAAATTTAGCTAAAGAACAATGGAGTTAACAAGTTCATCTTCTGACCGGCTAGTGAATTCCTTTCCGTATCCCAGCTATTGTCTTGGTGGTACCGCTAAGGGAGTAGCGCTTCATCCCAGCGGTTCAGGCCATGGTGGCGCTGGTGGTGGCAGCTCCATATCTGGAGATATGGGGTTGTAAAGGCGGTGGGCACGAGACACGGAGTCATTGAGATTGAGGGTGATGTTGAACTAATCCTCCTATACCGTGCGTGTAATTGTAGTCTCCATTCCTCGGGTTCTATTCTTGCTGGCGATGTCGTGCCGTCCTAAAATATGCTGGGCTACCGCTGGAGCAGCAATAGAACTGGAGCTGGAGCTGGAGTATCGCTGCCGGTTGCGACCTCACAGAAAACTGGCGCGCCATTCATCCGCCTGTGTCTGCTTGCAGTCACAGTCCATTATGATGCGCTCGACAAGTCTTCCCTGAGCACTCTCTATGCATGATCTTCGCCGAATCGCCTTATTTCCAGCTCGGCTCCGACGGGGAGCGTGTGATATAGTAGCGTAGTCAAGTTGCTGAGATCCTTCCCTCAAGTTGGCCATCACTCTACACCGCCAGAAGCTAACAGCATGTGGCCGAGGGAAGGTCATCTGGGCACAAGTTGCCACGATCGCGCTCAAATCGAAACAACCTTACGGTGCTTCATAGTCGTATGGTTACGGCACCAATCAAGAGCACTGGGACGTTCGCACTCCTCCATTCTGTTGACGCGGAAAGCAATGTCGAAGACGATGTCGAGAAGCTCGACGAGTTCGGGGTCCTGAGAATACAGTAGGTGAGGATGTTAGCACAGTCAACAGAGTTCCAAAGCGCGAGTTACCGCTACCTGAAAGAGCCGTAGTCTTCCACGACGCTGCCTAGCAGCAGACTATCCACGGAGGCATGGCTGTTGCCGTGGCGTGCATCTCTCGACCGCAGGCCCTTCCCGCCGCAACGTCAGTTCTCAGAGCAACGTGATGCTCCCATCCCCACCATGCGCAGTCGCTTCCCTGCGCGCGACTAGCAGCGAGAGCGGATTGGGTGCTTAGGTTCCCTGGCGCAGCTTCCGTCTCTGCCGTTGCAGCAGGGAGCCTGCCGCGACCTCACACCGACATGGACGCGCGGAATGGACGGTGGCCTGTGGCACGGCGGCGTAGCCGCCCAGCTGAGATCTGCGCAATCTCTAGCACAGTCGACACCTCCATGGCGGAAGACCGTTTTCGAAATCCTCGCAAGCGTTAGCAGTCTCTACCCGCCCCCTCTCCCACGCCAAAGCGAACGACGCCCTCATCCCCCCTCGCGCCATGCGTCTTTTTTCTTGCTGTCGCTGGTACTCGACTTTCACTGTTGTTTCGTTTTGTTTCATGTTTCCTGTTCATTTATATCACTTGGAGCACTGTTAAGCGCAATTCTAACGCAGGCAGATAATTCACGACTTTACGTCATTAGCTTTGGCAGAGCACCGATCCCATTGACCTAGCTTCCTTCTCTCCCAGAGATATGTCCAATTACACTACCGACGGCTCTCCTAGCCTCGAACCCGTACATCCCAAGGCCACTCCCACACCCTCGCCACCGCCATTTATCCCGACCCCAATGCAACATAGAACACTGTATGGACGCAAGACTCGTTCCAGCCAAGGGGATAGAGTCTTAGTAGAGAGCATGTACCCAGACCAGCCAGATATAGCCCAGCTAGTCGGTGAACAAGCCCTCAACTCGGATTCAGAGGACGAGGAGGACTTGAAGATGAAGGAGGAGGACTTGAAGATGAAGGAGGAGGACATGAAAGAGGAAGACACGCCATTCATCCCGGAGCAAAATCGCACACGGCTAGAAATAGCCAAGCTGACCGACGAGGAGGATATGAAAGAGTACATGAAGGAGGTGGATTCGCAGAAAGTTGACCGAGCCATATGAGCCCATAGACGAGGAGTTTTCTCGCTGCAGGGATGGACAATTCACCCATCATTTAATAGATGGCTCGAACAAAAAAAATATCTGATTTATTCTAGTGGGACGTATTGACTCATACAAACTTTCTTTGTTAAATCTCTTCATGCTCCCGTGCTTCTTTGGCTGTAATTCTCGCCTCCTTAACCATTCCAACCTTTCAACATGCTCCCGCGCTGCTTTGACTGTGATCCTTGCTTGATACAGCACCGCATACGCTTCACGCTCAGTCCCTTCGACTCGCCACACTCGTTGGTGGGATCTATAAATTTGACTGATTGAGAGGCGCAACTGATAAGAACTCAGGCACATACTACAAGCGCAGTGATCGCTATGCCTACTCACGAATGGGGATACATCCGGACATGCCAACACGCCCAAACTCTACTCGACTTGTGCAGTTCTTCTCGATAAGGAGACACCCCTTCCGCTGCTCCACGAAAGTAAATTCCATGAGATTCCATGAAGTGCTTACGGCAATCTTTTGGTGAATGACTGCTATACGAACAAAGACGGTGTGGACAAGACCGCGGTTCAACAAACTCCAGTACCGTGCCTGGTCGTAGCCCAAAAATGTTGTCTACATCATGACGCGATATATGAAGACGATATTCTTCCCGAGTTATGAATTCTTTGAGACACCAAGGGCAAAGTGCTGGAATTATTGTTAGTCCAAGGCGTCTTCCAAACCCGCAGAAGTATCCTCTTTCTTCCTGGAGTCGTTGTCGGTGCATCTGGCGATGATCTTTCCAGCTCGCGGATGGTACCCAACACCGGCATGGAACGCAAAATTTGTTGGTCGAATGAGTCTGGGCGCATAACAAAAGATATTCTGCAGATTCTCCAGTCCTGAAAAGATTATCAGAACTGCCACCTAATGAATATAAGCCAAGGAATGACTAACCTGTTCAAGTTCGGGCAGAAGCACTGAATCTTGAACTCCGCCCCTGGATAATAATGCCTTTTCCGAGCCGATGGGTCCGCCACTGCCTGTAGAGAGCGTAATACTTCGCCCAGTGGTTTAGGCGGTTGGCTCCAGAGGCTCCAAAAGCTCTCAATGACAGCCCTTCTGTCATGGTCATATTTCAGCATAACCTTGCAGGAATATGATGGTTGTTTCTCCTCGCCTTCCTGTGAGCTGTTATCGCCTTCCTGTAAGCTGTTAGCCCCCTCAAGAGAGTATTGATGGCGTTCCAGGGTAGTGAAGAACGCTGTTCTCTTCGTTTCGAAGTGACTTTTCTTTGCCTTTTTTACGAGGTCGTTCCGCTTCTGATTGGGATATGGAACTCGCAACTGTTCGAGCTCTTCCTCCGAGACGACGTACGGGATTTCGTTGATAAGCGATCCTGCTGGAACTGGCGCGTTGGTATCCCTTCCGAAAGTGATAGAGCGCATAAAGTCAATGTATTCTTGATTTTGAGACCTTCCCCGGACGACAGAGGCAAGATCTATGCCGATGATGTCTGAGGCATAGTACTTCTGGAAGACTTGATCAAACTTGCCCTCGTGTCCCATTACTTGACGTCTTTGGGCAACAGTCACCGTATCTATAAAGATGTTGGGCCAGCATGGAAAATAGCAGTGGCGATAGGGTGGTGGACCTTCAAGTTGATTACCGCAACCTCTGCGGAAGGCGTACCCAGAGAGCTGTTCTTTATAACCGCAACGATATCCAACATCTTTCAAGTATTTCCAAAGTAAACTCCCCGTCATTATTCTATCAGGTGAAATGCTGCCATTACGCTTGGCCCTACGGCATACTGGCAGATGTTCTTTGCCGGCTTTCATTTGGAAAGTATGAGAGTTCGCTGACTGTGGAAGCTTCATGGACGAGGTGATGTTTGATAAGTCGTCGTAGACATCATCCGCAAGCGCGAATCCGAGGAATTGCATGACAGGGCAGGTATACCAGTTGGAAGGATCTGATTCCATGACAAACGGCGAGGACATCCTGCAGAGTTAGAAGTCGTAGGAGGCTTTGGAATTAGGAGAATGTTACCATGTTTCTCCCCCACGTTGACCTTTTCTATTCCGCAGGCGGACCATGACTGAGTATTGGAGAGCTCCCTGGAAGCGGGAAACCTGTACATCCACATCCCTATAATGTATTCCTTCATTCAACCCTAACCAGTCCACGGATTCAACAATTTCCCCTTGCCGGAATCCAGCGTAGGACATGGTACAGATGATCCAGGCCAGCTGAGATCTCATCCGAGGACGAGAGTACTCAAATTCGTCGCGGCGCCAGAGGAATTCAACAATGTCCTCGGTAGATTGGAACATAGCAACGGGCTTCTATTTGGACTTGAGGGTTGCCTCGCCAAGCTTAGAAAGGTCAATAACGCTCTGATGAATGTTCGTATTAGCCAACCGGGTTCATTAAAGTGAGAGGGTCTGCCTCCAAGTTGCACCGTTCTGATGTCCTCTGGGGGTATTTGAAGCCAGTGTGCAAGCGGACTATTTTTCTGACTATAATCCAGATCTTTGACAAATATTGAACAGTGGGTATGTTCTCAATTTCGCCCTTTGAAGTTCTTGCAAGCTGACGGAAGAAGATCTGTAGTTGCAGCGAGGATGGAGCAGCATGAAAGTCCAAAAGTTCATTTGATCGTCCGTACGATGTCACATATCTAATAGATTGTGTTTGTGTAAGTCAGAGCTGCGAGAAACACTGTGGTATCACCCACTCGTTCCATTGACGGATGACCCTCTTGACATTGGCGGCGTTGTTCTTGTTTGGAGCGAGATCAGCAGCGGCCTTCCGTCCACGGTCGATATTATCGTCGGCAAGTAGCCTAGCTAAGTCATCGAAGATATTCATGGTGGAGAACGGAGGGATAGAGAGATAGGGTCGGATATTCAGAGGATGGGAAAGTCGAGGTAGACTGAGGAAAGTAGAGGAAAGCGTCGAGGAAGGGGACGGTCATCCTGCCAACAGCCGGGGCTTCGGGTCCTCTCAAAAAAAAATCATTGCGGCGCATGCGTGTGTGTGTGCGCTGGGATTGTCGGGATTCAGGTTTGAGTTTTGAGTTTTGAGAATATAGATGTCGGAAAAGGCGGCGGGGTGGGCGCGTAAATGGGGGCCAGGGGCGCCAAGACTGATGACGAAGCTAAGAATATTACTCCGAGGGTGCGTCCGTGCAAAGGCATCCCCACCCAACAGACGTTTCGCCAAAAGCGCTTCAACACAGGGTTGAGGGGGGTGGAGAGGTAGTATTTCAGGATTCAGAAAAGGTGTACATGGTGACTGCATGGCGACTGTGATGGCATGCCGATATATTTAGGAAAATTAGTCGGATCCTCAAAAATCCTCATTAGAGGAGCCTGTATCGAAAAGGCTAAGGGCTTGTGGTTTAGTGGTATAATTTTCCCTTAGCATTGCATAGCACTGTGTACCGACTGGGAAAGGTCCTGGGTTCGATTCCCAGCAAGTCCATGATTTCTTTTTGGCCTCTTCAGCACCATACATAGAGTGGTGGCCATGGTGTTCGCCGTCTCTTGTTGGGCTTGCGGGGAGCGGGGAACGTGCGCGTGGCATATGCGTGTTCGGTAGTAACAGCACTGTGTTTGTTTCGAAGTTCGACTGGCTAGGACTGCTGGGAGGGCTCTTTTATTTTGATGAAGGTGAAGGATTGATTGGGCGCTTGATAGGTAAATGCTGGTGAGGCTCGCGTCGTTACCCTTTGAACTTGAATATCTCCCTCTTTTCAACAGCCATTGACATTAGTGTGATGTTGTTGCTAGGGAATAAATGCTTGTCCTATTATCAGGCAGGGGGGCAATATCCAGTTGCAATGGTACCCGTTAAGAGGTGGTAGTTTGCTTTGCTCTTGGTCGACTGAACAGTTGGAGTCGTCCATAGAATCCCTTGGAACGATATCATATTCTCGCTCCCAAATGTTTCAACACCAAAAATGCAACGCTGGGTATATCTCAAATCATGCAATCGCTCCTCCGACTTCCGTGAGTCATTGTCAAATCACGGGATATCTAGGCCTGTTCATACTGGCGTGACACTAGGGCCATACCCAGGCTCCAAATGCTGCTGTTGCGGCAGCATTTCTCCAGAATCACCTAGTTGCTGTGCGCCTTTCGTTGCTGTGCCGGGTTTCAGGTAGAGGATCAGGCGGAAAGCCGTGTTGCCGTTCAGGTAGTAGCGATGCAAGCGCTTGCTGCGTAGGAAGCCGAGGCGCTCGTAGAGCTTTAGGGAGGCCGTGTTCGTGACTTCGGTTTCGAGGACGATCTACCAGAGGCTCAGTACGGTCCGTCATGGGTGTAAGTTGGTGGGTGTGGTACCTCGTCCGCATCTCGGGCGGTCATTGCGTCAATCGCCATGCTCACGAGCTTCGTGGCTATTCCCTTTCCCCTGTGCGTTTCTTGTACTGCCAGCATTGCTATATATCCGCGAAAGGTACCGCTACGGTGGTGTTCGAGCTTGCATACGACGACGCCGATGAGGCTGGTGGAGTCGAGGGCCTGCGAACTAGTCAGATCGTTGCGATTCCAGACATCGAAGAGCGATCCGGGGGCTAGGGTCATACCATATAGCATAGCTCTCCCCATTGGTAGAGAAAGTAGCGGTAGACATAGATGCTATAGGGCTCGGAGAGGTCCTTGGAGATCAGCTGGCGGATGGCGGGTAGGTAGGTCGCTTCCTTGGAGCCTTGGTACTGCACATATTGCAGGTCGGCGATGTCTGTCGGAGCATTGTTGTTGCTCATACCGTTGTATGTAGCAGTCGAGAGGGGTTATGGTGGAGAGGCAGTGGCTTTGGTGGGGAGTTTTGGACTAACTACCTAGTCGACAGGTGGCTTAGAGTTGCCCAAAACAATCCAGGTACGGTTCATGCAGAGTTCTTAACAGGTATTGAGGAAGCTTAAATAGCGGCAAACAGGTGTATACACTCTTCAAGAGTCTATTAGGATTATATAATTGATATATAAGTTCCACCCTGGTGGGGCTAGAGACGGCCTATTGCAGTCTGAGACGGCCTTGCGACGAAATTGCCAAGGGTATGACGGCCATCCTTTCAGATATCCCCGAGACCCTCTCCCTCCCTCACCTCTCCTCCGCACCACCATGTCTTCCCTTCGTCGCCGCTTAGGCTTCGGCGGCGACTCCTCCACCGAGCCCTCCAGAGAATCTACACCAGATCCGAGCAACCCGGGGCTTCTGCGCGTCATATCGGCGGAGAAGCTACACAATTTGAAGAAAGGACGGAATACTAAGAGACGGAATGCATGGGTGTTTGGGCTGGGAGGCCTCTTCGGTATTGCCGTCGCGGCCTTCTTTGCTGGGAGTAACGACATGATCGATCTGTCTTCCCTGGCCGATTTGAACATGGACTCCATACTCGAGTCTTTGCCCGCCGGGTTGGTTAGGGATGCGCAGGAAATGCAGGTCCGTAATTTCATGCTGAAGGCACATACTTGGGCGTGGACTGAGCTGATGTTTCCGTAGAAACATGAGAAGGCCGCGGTTAATTACGATTCCTTCGCCGTCGGTTTACATGCGCGCAGCGAAGGTATTCAGGCAAAACACCCCGTCATTATGATACCTGGGGTTATATCCACCGGGTTAGAGAGCTGGGGCACAGAAGAGTCGTCGCGACAATACTTTCGAAAAAGACTGTGGGGGTCCTGGACCATGATGCGGTCGCTGGTGCTAGATAAAGCTGGCTGGAAAAGACATATCATGCTGGATAAGATAACTGGACTGGATCCTCCTGGCATAAAACTTCGCGCTGCTCAGGGTTTCGACGCGACAGACTTCTTCATCACCGGATACTGGATATGGAACAAGATCTTGGAGAATCTGGCGTCCATTGGATACGATCCGACAAATGCTTTCACCGCTGCTTACGATTGGCGTCTATCCTACGCCAACTACGAGGTTCGGGACCAGTATTATACCCGTTTAAAGGCACACATTGAAACCGCGGTCAAAGTGTCGGACAAAAAGGTGGTGCTCCTCTCGCACTCCATGGGCTCCCAGGTTCTTTACTATTTCTTCCACTGGGTTGAAACGAAAGGCTACGGGAACGGTGGAACATCGTGGGTGGACGACCATGTAGACTCATGGATCAACATCAGTGGATGTATGCTTGGAGCCATGAAAGGCATCCCCGCAGTCCTATCCGGAGAGATGAAAGACACAGCCCAACTCAACGCTTTCGCCGTATACGGACTCGAGAAGTTCCTCTCGCGTCACGAACGTGCTGAAATATTCAGATCGATGCCAGGAATCTCGAGCATGCTGCCCATGGGCGGGAACGAAGTCTGGGGAGATGAAAACGGAGCCCCCGACGATCGGCCAGGGCAGAACATCACCTACGGAAACTTCATCCGCTTCAGATCCAACAACTCAACCAACACGAAGAAAAACATCACAGTCACGGGATCGATACCCTACCTCTTCAACCATACCGAGGACTGGTACCAAGACATGGTGCTGCACAGCTACTCCCTCGGCGTCGCACATACTAAGCGCGAAGTGGAACACAACCAAATGATACCCGCCAAATGGGTGAACCCACTCGAGACCCGTCTACCTCTCGCTCCACACTTGAAGATCTATTGTTTCTACGGTGTGGGCAAGGACACGGAGCGCGCGTATTATTACAAAGACGATTTGGACCCGCTGACCCAGACGAACGTGACTATTGACACTTCCTACACGAATGGCGCCACTGACCATGGCGTTGTCATGGGTGAAGGAGATGGGACCGTGAACTTGCTCAGCACAGGTTACATGTGCAACAAAGGCTGGAAGATGAAGCGGTACAACCCAGCAGGTGTACAGATCATAACTCATGAGATGCCGGATGAGCCGGACAGGTTTTCGCCGAGGGGTGGGCCGAATACTGGTGGGTGGAGTTAATTCTTCTGAACATCTTGCTTCCATTTGATCATCAAGGGCTAACCTTTACAACCAGGCGATCACGTTGACATCCTCGGCCGCTCCTCTCTCAACGACCTGATCCTGCGGGTTGCAGGTGGTCGAGGCGAGCTCATCGAGGAGAAGGTCGTTTCTAATATCTTCGAATACGCCGAGAAAGTGAAGATACGTGACGACTAGGGGTAACGAGGCTGGTGTGATATTGCTAGCGTTGCATCTGCTGGCCGGAGCCGGCGTTTGGTTTAGAATGAAAGCGTTTCGCTGACGAATCAGGGGGATATACCTATAGACTAATTCATTGGGATGGTTCGAATCTTTCAAAAGCATCTTTTGCAGTACCAGCTTATCGCGACTCTAGGATACCAGAAAAATCACTCAGTTCAAATATTTACATGAAACAACGCAAAACCCCCCCTATATACACAAACCTCCAAAGCACCTCCACAAACACCCGTCCAAACCCTATTTACTCCCTCTTCACCCCCACCCTCCCAATCTTCCTCAACCCGACAAGCGCCACCAACAACGTCGCCAAACACAGCCCAAAACAATACCAAAACGTCGCTCTATACCCTACCATCAGCGCCCGCGGCCTCTCCCCCTCTTCCACAAACCCCGCCCGCGCCGTCACACTACTCGCAACCACCGCGCTCGTCGCCAGCCCCACGCTCTTCCCAATCTGCGCCACCGTATTGAACACGCCGCCCGCCAGCGCCTGCGTCTTCGCGGGAAACACGCTCGTAATCAGCAGATTCGAGATGGTAAACAGCACATCGGCGCCGACGGGGCTGAGCAGCACGGCCACGAACTCGACGGCCCAGTAGCTCCACGCGGGGTCCGCGAGCGCCATGAGCAAGGGGGAGACGCACGCGATGGCGGTGCCGGCGGCGACGGCCCAGTCGGCGCGCACGCGGTGCACGACGAGGCCCATGACAATGTTGGACAGGGCACCGGAGACGGGCGCGGGCAGGAAGCGGATCGAGGTCTGGATGGGCGAGATGCGCTGCACGTACTGGAAGAAGAGGGTGAGCATGCTCTCGACGGCGTTGAAGGCGCCCCAGGTGAGGAACACGGCCAGGCAGATGGAGGTGAAGGTGCGGTTGCGCCACAGGGAGTTGGGGATGATGGCGGGGCGGTGCAGGCGCTCTTGGCGGCCGACCCAGAAGATGAAGAGGGGGATTAGGGCGAGGGAGGTGAGGAGGGTGAGGAGGGTCGGGGCGTGGCGGATGTTGGAGGCGTTGCCGGTGATGGAGCTGGCGGGTGTTAGAGGGGGTGTGGGGAGGGGGGGTGGAGGGGCTTACGCGAAGGCGTAGGACAGCATGGCGAGAGAGGCGCTGGAGATTAGTGCGCCGATCCAGTCGATGTCTGAGGATAATCGCGTCCAGGTGATCGGTTCTTGCGAGTCGATGTTCCGGGGCAAGCCATACACGGCCAACCCGAAGATGACCGTGTTGATGATCGCGGCGATGTAGAAACCCCATCGCCATCCGATAGAATCAGAGAGCACACCTCCCAGCGTCAATCCCAGGGAGAAGCCAATCGGCTGGCCACCTCCCATGGACGCGAAGGCGATATTCCGCCTCTTCCCCTCTGGAAACGTGCTGGTGATAATGCTGACGGCGGACGGGAGACAGAAGGAGATGGCTACACCAGCGAGCGCTCGAAACACAATTAGCTGCGTCCCGGTCCGTGACAGGCCACACGCGAGCGTGAAGGCGGATTGCAGAAGACAGCCGATTAGGTACATGATACGGGAGCCGACAACATCCGTGACGGAGCCTAGGATTAGGAGGGTGCAACCGCATGTTAAGGCGTAGATAGAGACAGGCCTAAATGAGTATGTTAGCTGTATTCATTAAAAAATGTAGTTGTCTCGAAATTGTTGCTTGTATGACGTACCAAAGCAGCAGGCTTGGATCCAGGTTCACATCCTTCGCCATTGTGGGAAGTCCTACAGTTACGAGGCCGGCGAGAAGGGTGCTGACGGCAGTGACGCAAGTCACTGAAGCTATCACGACGGCGGTCGTTCCTTTGGAAACATCTTCCTTGCTCGCCGGCTCTGTTGCAATGGTGGTCTCATTTTGAGGCGGTCCTTCATGCAGTACGTCTCGCAGCGATTGAGTAGAAGGATTCGAAACAAACGTAGAAAAAGGCGCCAACTCCACTGAAGTACGAGACATGACTAGTTGAGACTCGAGGAAATAGAAAATAGAAAACCGCCTAGATACGCCGCCTCTAAATCCTGAGAGCAAATCTCACTTATACCTGAAATCTAGTGCGGAAAAAATCCGCCGCCATTGCTGAGTGGTGCTAGGGCGTCAAATGGCTCAATCCACTTTCGTCATTGGCCACCAGGCCACCCGTTCGGGCTCGGGACTACGCAGGGATAGCATACCTGCATACGTACCATTCACCCACTGCGTGACTAATGAAAAATAATTTTGACCGAGCGTGAATGTCATTTGGCGACATGCTACATATTTTCTAATCATACAACTCGTGCCAAACTTCGCTCTATACCAAAATTACTCTAATAGTACACCGCTGTTCCAATTCTGCAATCTACAACTCATCTTTAACCCTCGTCGTCGTTTCTTCGTCCGCGGATGCGCTGCTCTGCTGAGGTGACTCTCCTGCCTTCGCTCGTTTCGCAAGCGCAGCAACCTCATCATCATAAACCGTCCATTCCGGCACCTGCCGCCTCGCCCGATCCAGCTTCGGCTCCTTCGTCTCCGGGTTATTGCAAAGGTCAATCGTCTTCGCATCCTTCAGACTCTCGTCGCTGCACCAAGTCTCGCACCACAGCCACTCCTGCGGCAGACTATGGATGGGAAGCTGCATCTGCATGTTGTTAGGGAGGTCCTGATCTAGATTACTCAAACTCGCGGGGTCTGCAGACAGCTGGTGATACTGCTGTCGAAGACGATCGCCAGCAGCAATTTGGCGGAAGCGCTTCAAGTCGACGACGTAGAGCGCGCTGATGTGGTACGGCAGGCCGCGAAGGAAGTTCTTCCAGTACCCTTGTTTCCAGAATCGGAAGCCTTCCATTTCGGTCCGGCTATCACACATTGGTGTGAAACCATAGGGTGCGCCTTGGAGGTCGTGGGTGACGAGCTCGTACATGTCGGTGCGGACGATCTGGTCGGCGTCCACGAAGATGACTTTGTCCAGATCCAATGGGAAAAGCACGTCGAGGAAGAGGATCTTGTAGCCCCAGATTTCGCGTTGCTTTTCTTTTTGCCCTCGAAGCCAATGCGGCCATTTGTAGGTGACCATCTCGTACTCGAACCCGTATTCGGCGGCCATAGTTGGGAGGAAGGACTTGAACGAGGGAGAGAGGAACTGCTCAATGAACCAGAACTTGACGGTGTGCTTTGTGTGCTTCATGACGCTCAACATCATAATATTCAGCATACGCTCATACAAGTGGCCACTTGCAACGGAGAAAATGTTGATATCAGCTTGAGGTCCTGATTTGGTTTCAGTAGTCAGTCCGGTGCTCGAACGTATAGAGGACCACCATTCCGAACCTTTGGAAATAGCCTTGCCAGCATCTACACCAGATAGGCCGACTTTGGAAAGAACTTTGTTGGCCAGTTTGGCTCCTGTCGCTGCAATATCAGAAGCGATATCAATTGGGTCTGCTAGGACATCCTCTGCTTCCTGGCCTGGTTTCCTGGATAGGCGGGGAAACAGAGTTGTACCCTGGAAACTCATCAAAGCAATCTCGGTAGTATCGTCTCCGGGCTGGGGCCCGTATCCCCTGGTTCCTGCGCTATCAATCTTGAAGATTTCCTGGCTTCGGCCAGCCTTGAGTTGGATCTTGAAGAATCCTGGATTGGCCTTGAACTGGAAATATCCCAAATTGGCCATGATAATAGTGTCAGCAAAATGAGGGTTCTTCTGCGTCCCCAACACCAACTCTGCTCCTCTCGGAGGGACCCCGTTAGTAACATCTCGAGAATGGCCCTCAATCAGAATATTTTCTAGCTCGTAGATAGCTTCAATGTCACCTGAATCCTTCAGAGAGCTCAATTTGATGTTGTCAAGATCGTGCACACAGTCCTTTGGTGCAACAAGCCACGACGGCGGGACGTCCATTCCTAGGTTGAGAAGCGCATCTGCCGGGACTCCGTTGAATTTGGCCCGTAGATCACGTAGTGAGCCATCTTCATTGAACGATGGTGTCGATTCCAAGACGTAACGGTAAAATCGTTTCACCGGTAGCTCCTCAAGTGAGTTTTTGGGGTTCAGAAATAGCCGTAGATGAACACCATTGAGTTCAGAGAGCACCTTCAAGATCGGGATCCACCGTTGTGCAACTTCAGAAGCCGGATCTATGGACGCGACAACCTGTACGATCGCAGTGTCGAGGTCTCCCTTAGTAATAGCCGTATAACACGAGTTCCAGCGGTTGAAAATATCCGTACGCACGGACGGGGCAGCTTCGAAAATACCCTCTGGGACATCCGATATGGTAGAGGTCGAGATCAAAGAAGATAGCTTTGCGGCCGCTAGTGGGGACTGAATGTTTCCAGTGAGTTCGAGAGACTGGGATGCCTTGCCAGCAGGTCCAATCCGCTTCCTCATCTCATACGCTAAGAGCGCAGCGTAGTCGTCCTTGTCGAACTCTTGGTCCTCTGATATGGGTCCAACCAGTCGGCCGTTGACAACGACATAGCTCTCGCCTGGCTTGAGGTTGAATGAAGCAATCAGAGGCGAAACAGCGTCCCAATATGCCTGTGAGTGGCCATCTGTGTCATCCGGTATCGGTTCTGCGGCCGCGTATTCAAGCGGCCTTTCTTGCTGAGCTGCGTGGTAGAGACGACTAGCAAAGCCTGTTGGGTCGACAGGACCGCAAGAACTATGGATGAACACGACCTCAACGCTTTGGTGAGATTGACGGAATTCCATCGCCTGGAAGAACAAGCGTAGGCCCGCATTGCTGTCAAAATCCGCAACGACCAGCATATAAGCCCATTGTTCCACGTCCGCTACGTGTTGCACGCTAAAGCGTGGGAGGTTTTGGAACACGTCAGCATCAAGGGTATCGAGTTTGCTCAAATCGACGAATTTAACGTCCTTCTCGTTTTCCGGAATAATCAACGGGTTACGCTTCAAGGCAGCTTGTACCAGGAATTTGGATGGTAGCCAAATGTCCTCATTAAAGACGTCTTCAAAGACATCCTTTTGAAGGGACCGGTGGTCCCCGTTAGCTCTCTGAGCCATAGACTGCAACCACTCATCATTGCGTATGATAGGCACCCCGTTGAAGAACAGTGCAGGATTGGGGCCATTCGAAGCAAGTCTCGCCAAATACTGACTTGCACTTGCTAACCGTGGCTCTGCTTGGTCCGAATCGAGTACCTGTTCTAGTTGGAGTAGTTCGTGATCCTTACGGAGTTTGTGGTGCTTGATAGTTGATTCAAATGTGGCCTTGTCTGGGGATGATAATTTGTTATGATTGGCGGACTGAATAGATTAGTAGCGTTCGGCATGCATCTGGATTACCTAGCTTACAGCTTGCAAGTACACCATTACGGCAGAGAGGCCATAGCTCTGGTGAAGATGGCATACCACCTTGGCTTGTGCAATTGCACCCGGCGAATTCGTTGCCGGGACTAAGCCCCATCGGATCGGGAAGGTCCTCTTGATTAGACTTTGGATGGTATCAACCACCATGGCAACATCTTTGCCATTCGAGAAGTCCGTAGGAACGATGGCATTGTGGATGTCCCGTCTCACAGACGGAAGTTGTCCAGGATATGACCGTTGAAGGAGCTTCGATATATGAGCAAATAGAGCGGGAGAAAGTCAAGGTAAAACTTACAGCGGCGAGACTCGTAGGCCAATCTTCATACCTCTTATCCTTTTCAATATCATTCAACCACATGATGACGTTACCGCCTTCTATCTCATCCCGGAAGTCGTAACGCTGTGGCTCATCGTCGATATGGGACTCTGTGATGGCAGAGTGCGACAAAACGTTGATAGCGTCTAAGCCGGAGAGACCAAGCTCACGGATCCCATTGATCAGCTTTCGCTCTCGTCTAAGATGTACGAGGAGCGAGAACGCGTCTACATCACGGGCATTGATTTGTACGCCATTTATCCAGATGACATTGTAGCCAGCCGGAAGCAGCTGCTCGCGGTTGCTCTTATGCTCAGCGATGAATTCTGCGGATGCATTGTGACTGGAAATGGACGAAGAATGCTTAGGGAAGTCTTGTGATAGTTTCAGAAGAGTATCCAGAGGCTGTTCGCTGTTCAGGACGAAACTTGCAGCATTGCTACCTAACAAACGTAGCTCGGACGCAGACAAGGGTTTCAAGTCAGTGATCTCGTCTTCATCGTGAAGTTCACCTTGAAGAGGTTTTTGACTACCCTTTTCTGCTGCTTGTTCCGCAGGTCGGTCGTCGATGACTATATAGTCAGTGCGCTTGAGCGCAAGTTCTACACCATAGCCGCTAACCACAAGTGGTGACCTAGGCCGCGATCTACTTGTTTTATGACGAACTCGATATGAAATTTCGCCAGCCCTGGCTCTTTGGCTGCTTGACTTGTGGAAGTCGGCAAATCTACGAGTCGTTATATCGGCATACAAAATTGCTTGGAGAGGATTTGAAGGATCTCCGAGGACACGGTCAAAAGGCAACTCGGGGACCCTGGTAGCGGTTAGTCTCCCCATCTTCACAGGTGGACAACATCTACGAACCAAGATTTCTGTATAGCATCCGGAGCCTCGTCCATTTGCGGAGTACTGTATTGTTTGCCACGAAATTGTATCCAAGCATCAGATCCTACTATTTGCTCAGATTTTGGCTCCACCGACGTGTTATAGTATTGGTAATGCGCTTCGATTCGCGGGGCGGCAGAGTGCACCGAGAGGGCGAGTTGGAAAGACGAGAGCGTTTCTGGATCTGTAATGTGGCCGTCATTTTGGAGGAGATCGAGGAATTTAATATAAAGTTCTTGGGAGGTCGTGGATTGCTCGAAGTAGCCTTCAGCAATGCGGTCGAGAATGGGGAAGTAGGCGGTTGCGTTCTCCTCTGCTGCCGTTTCTCTGCGTCCTGTTAGACACGTCCTCTCTGGGGCGTAAGGTTGCTGGGGCTTACAATAGCTCTACTAAATATGGCGATGAGTCGAAGGAGGCCGTCAACGCGACATTGATACCTGGGCTTGCGGCGGCGCACAGAGGTCGAAGGGCACCGAGGAAGAACAGGGCCTTTGCCGGCAAAGACCTCCGGATTGCTCTCATGATTGTTGTAGTGCTCAGTCGAGCTGGGGCTTAACTTGGTTCAGCTCCTCAGCAAGTTGCACTATTCGTAATCGGCGGATGTGGTGTCGTTGGTCGGCTCTAAGATCAAGGAGTTGCAACGTATAGCGATTTCGTTTAGAGCGCCTGTGAAGTTTCAGGGCTGCATTTTGGGATATGTTTGCAAGCAGCTGGAGCCTCAAAATTTGAACTGGCCGTTCCTATAAGTTCAATTTTACAGACCAAATTAAATGTGCAGGTGGTCTCGGATATGCTTGTAGACAACACGCGGAGGTGACGCCAGTTCCGCGTCACGTGCCAGGCCCCACATCGTCACTCTCCAAGGATAACTTCACTACAATCTCTACTAAAGAGGTAAAAATGGCTTTCAGGTAAGGACTGCCAAGAAGGAACTACGTTCTTCAAAATTGCAGAAAGTACAATTGCACTCCGCACACTTTCTCCCCTTATCATATGCTAGCTGACTACACTACAAGCCGAATACTGAAGTAAAAGCAACTCTGGGTAATGACTGTCAAGAAAGGTCTATACTCATCAAACTCGCAAAAAGCACCAACCAAAACGCCAGAGCAATGCAAAACCAAGACCCCACGAAATGCCCTTCCCAATCAACCCCCCATGCCCCCAAAGCCCTCAGTCAATGCCCCTAAAATGTCATCCCACACTTCACCCTACACGCATTAACAGCCGTCGCCACATTCACCGGCAGCGCCTTGCGGAACTTCTCAAACTCCTCCGCACTAATCTTATCCGGCAGGATCCCCGCAGCATCCAAGACGACATCGGGGTCGAGGAGGAAGGCATTCTGGGCGATCTGCGTGGTGCCTGGGTCATCAGAGCTCAAAGCGGCGACGAATGTGGCCTTGTTGTCGCAGGAAGGGTTGAATTGGTAGTGGAAGCTACCCTGGGGGAAGACGGTGCCTTGAAATTGCTGAAGGTCGGTAGTGATCTCTTGCTTGTCGCCTGTGACGAGGTTGTTTTCGAGGACCATGCCGGAGATGAGCTCGCCTTCGACTACGGTGAGGAACTCGGTGGCGCGGGGGTGGATGTGGGGGCTGGATACACGTCAGGAAATAAAGAGAGGATGGGGAGGATGGGGCAGCTACGTGTTTAATCCGCATGGGTCGAGAAACCCGAGGGTGGTTGAGATCCCGAGGCCTTTGCTGACGGGGAAGGTTTCGCCGTTTGCTGCTTTTAGTGCGCCCCCTAGTGAAATGTGAGTATGACTGCGAGTAGGATGGATTCGCTATGACATACCAGTAGCACCGGTGGCAGGCGTGGCCCCATTGAAGTCGAAGACAACACGCGCCTTCAGGGCATCGCCCGATAGGAGTTCCTCCCCCGCGCCGTCAACCGTCAAGATCTTCTGGAACTTCTTGATTGCCGTTGGAGCTTGCACAATATCGATGAGCAGCTGAGTATTGTCGACGACAGCAGGAGGGGTGGAATTATTGGCACGCTTAAACTCAGTGGGGAGAGCTGAGACGCCGCCAAGTGCGAGCGCCGCGACGAGAACGCTTATGATTGAGAAAGACATTATGATCTTGGAATTGCTGAAAGGAAACCCCAGAAAAGAAGAAGACAAAGGAAACAAGGAAAAGAAAAGATAGAGTAGGAAATAAGACTGAAGATGTGAACGTGTGTAATGAAGTGAACGTGACGGACTATTCGTTGGACTTTCATGGCTCCTTATATGATCTAGAAGCACCATGAGCTGACGCCATCATTCAAAGGAAATAGACTATGCGGAGGGAGTGGAGCTTCTTCGTAAAGCGGATAGCGGAAGTCCATTAACCCTGCGTGAACCAAGAAATCAGGCAACCATACTACTGTACTGTACCTAGCTTCCACATTCGCTGAGATCAGAAGCTACGGCCGTGATCGTTCCGCATTGTTTCATGTCTTAGCGTAACCAGAGTCTAAGTTTATAACCATATTTACTGATCATTGTACCTTGAGCGTGGAACTAACTGTCCATGGTAGCTGTGTAGTTGCAGTGAATTAGCTCAGACAAGCCTTGGCATCAACTTTCTGACGTTGGATATGGAAGCTCGATATTCAAGCTCGGGGTTATAAAAAGTGGCAGTCCACCAAAACCTCGCCTAGGAAGCCCAGAAAGTTCCCAGGCTGGTCAAAATCGGAACTACATATTCAGTTGGAGTTTTCGCAAGTATAACGAAGGACCCCAAACAGTGTCGGAAAAGTTGATGAAGCCATCCATGATACGACAATTCAGGTTCTAAGCATAGAAACTAATCAAGACTCGTAAGCGCGTGGACTCGTGTACTGCCACTTTCTGTGGCGCCAAGCCTGGCAGTGATGCTAGACAGTCTAAGTGGGCATTGCCCACGTATTAGAGGTCAAAATAAAGCTCAGTTCTTGGCATAAAAATGTCAGCACTATAAATAGGAAGTTTGATTTCGGATTACGCGCTCCCGAGACGGTAGCGTCAATAGTATCTAAGAAGAAAATACGCCCGATGATAAAGAACAGAAATCCAGGCGCTGACGACTCGCTGAGAAATGCAAAAAAGCCAAGCCCAAGAAATGCAAACGCTTCAAGGTATATGCAGGTTGTCGGATGCTGGCGTTACCGTGGCGTAAATAGGGAAGGGTCATGGCGCCAGCAACAAAAGCAAGCCACAGCCCTAGGAAGATTCCAAATCGACATCCATGGGATCTTCCAAGACCCAAAACGGAAGTTCGTCGAGAGTGAATCCGTCATCTGACGGGATTGATGGTGGCCCTTTGGGAATGCCACCCTCTTCTGGCTCTTCAACCTCGAGAATGTTCATGTTGGGAATATCCTCGAAGATCAAAGACGACCGGTTATCAATAGGTCCACGGACCCTGCGGCGCAGCCGGCGGGCGCTGGAGCCAACATCATGGGCGTCAAGAGCCTCGTTGTCCTCGATATCCGAGTCGCTCCCGACACTCTGACTGTGACTGCGCTTGAAGATTCCGGCGCTCCAACGCTTTTTTTTCTTTCTGTAGCTGCGTCTCTGTTCCTCTTCGTCGTTTGAATCCCCTTCGCACTTCAGCTTCGAGAAGCCGCTGACTATCCCTGTGTCGGTGTCCAGACGTTCGCCCAATCCTTGCTCACTTTTGGCATCTTCGAACTGGTCCGGCCGCACTACCTCAGTTTCACTATCATATCCCGGATCGCTCTCCTCTAGCTCTTCTAGTACGAAGTCTGCATGTTCGACCTTGCGAGGGGGGTTTTGCTCTTCCTTTCCGGACTCAGCTGCGTCCGAGTCATCATCGTCATCCGACTCTTGAGCGCTAGTAGCACATGCGCGACCAGAGGCGCTGGAGGGGTGCGACGATATATTCCTCGACTGGGGCCGCGTAAAATGGAACTGTGGTCCGTGTCCGATGGGTTCTATGAATTCCAGCGGAGGTGACTGGGCAAGCACAGACAGACCCATTCGCTTGTAAATCGGCGAAGTATGGGTGGCCGTCGATGGGAAGCGTGAATGCGAGCGGGAGCCCGGCGTGGCCGGCGGCGAGGATGGCTGGCCGTTGGAAACGGAGAAAGGGGGAGGTTTGTGGTGCCCCTCCATCGTGGGGCAAAGCGGTGATGTCGGAGGTTTTCGAGAATCTGGCTGACCCGCCAAAAACGAAGAACGGCGGAGTTGGTAGCAATGCGACGCAGCGACTTCAAGGTATTAAGATGCGGCGAAGGGGCTCTAATCTTGGTTTGTGAAGTATAGTTTTCGTGAGCAATATCATTTTCTGGGATGTCGGGCGTGTTTGACGGAGATGTCTGAGCGACGGTCGTAGGGCGGATAGGCGGGCTCTTTTGCAAGAGAGTCCCTGCAGCGTGCTTGGCTTATCGGGCGGGCTGGAGTCCAGTGTGCTATAGGCAGCAATGCAGGAATTGCAGGTCGGAGCAGACCTAAGGAGCCAGTGAGCGGTGGTCAGTCCGAGGCAGACGGGCGAGAGGTGGCCGAATCGGGGGACGCAGTGTGGTGGAAAGACGACGGAGAGGGGCCAGCAGAGCTCACGATCCCTTGCTTCCAGGATGGTGTGCGAGGGCGAGATATTTCAGGTGCGTTTCAAGAGTGAGCTGGCGGCGGTGGTGCGGGTCAATTTGAACAGGAGCTTCCTTGTCGACACTTCCGATAGCCCTCATGAAATGTGTCGGCCAGCAATTAGCGGCAGAGCTGGTCGCTAGCAGTTTCTGCAGCCTCTCGCAATCTCAGCCTGCAGCCCAGAGCAGGCCAATGGCTGCCACGTCTATTCTTGCGGTCATAACGCAGCACGCTGGCATGCTGGCTGCGCTCACGAGCAAATCTGCGCGCGGCCATTGGCGACGGAAGCGCGGGGTGCTGGCATCAAGGCCCGAATCGAGGCTGTCCCGTCCAGGCAAGCCGAAGCCGTAGTGAGCTTACCTCAGCAGGTCACGGGGAGTGAATAGGAACGGGGCGTGGTTGCGTTGTTTGTTGTTTGACGTTGAATTTATCAGGGATCACGTGAGACAGACTCGCTGACTAAGTGGTTGTGCCGCGCTAACTCTTTAAGTCTTAGACTGCAACTGGCCTTGGCATTTCGACAGAGGCCACCAGGGCCACTTCGAGAAATGCGAATGGCAGGCTAGGACGCTACCCAACATCCCTCACGCCCATATACCGCCGCTCAGTTCTCCTTCGACCTCCTCTCCCCCCGACAATTAAATCGTTGCCTGGACGCGACGCTGAGGGCACCCTCCTGCGTGCTTGAAGCTGCGGCTTCCCCCACAATTCCACCATGTCTTCACCGTCCATGTTGACCAAGGTAGGCAGCTTCTCGATAGCTTCAATATAACACCGCTGATTGTTTCGCAGTTTGAATCAAAATCCTCCAGGGCAAAGGGCATTGCCTTCCATCCCAAGAGGTTTGCCCTCAAATCGACCCCTACTTCCCTCCTCCGCTGACCGCCGCGCAGGCCATGGATACTCGTGTCGCTGCACTCGTCGACCATTCAGCTATGGGACTATCGCATGGGAACGCTAATAGACCGCTTTGAAGAACATGATGGCCCTGTTCGGGGTATCGATTTCCACAAGACGCAGCCATTGTGAGCATTCTAAACAAGAGCATAATTTAGGGCAAGATGTTAATGTGGGACAGATTTGTGTCCGGCGGCGACGACTATAAGGTGCGCACTCCCTCATATTCAATCTACTAGCACGTATTCGGGCCTCACTGTGCTATGACATGGTCATGTCCATGCCAATTCCCCCAATAACACAAATGTGAGCTCTAGCTAATCTGTACATGCCATTAGATCAAAGTCTGGAGCTACGTTTCGAGGTCAGTAATGTGAAACTATATTTCAATCTAGAAGTTGGACTAATCTTCCATTTAGGCGCTGTATGAGCTCAACCATTCCTGAAAGCGGCGGTCTCGGGATGCTAATAAATACTAGGTCTTTTTACCTTGAACGGACATCTCGACTACGTGCGGACGGTGTTCTTCCACCATGATCTCCCTTGGATTGTCAGCAGTTCGGACGACCAAGTAAGGATGAATATACCTCTTCGACCTTGGCTCCCCTAACTGGGTTATGCAGACAATCAGAATTTGGAACTGGCAGAATAGATCACTGAGTAAGTTCTTCTCTTAGAAGTAAATCTGATTGGCACAAGTCCTAACATACGATAGTCTGCACGATGACCGGCCATAACCACTACACGATGTGTGCCCAGTTCCACCCCAAAGACGACCTCATAGTCTCCGCCTCCCTCGATCAATCCGTTCGAGTGTGGGATATATCAGGCCTTAGGAAGAAGCACTCTGCGCCGACGTCTTTGACCTTTGAGGACCAGATGGCTAGGGCAAACGCCAACCAGGCCGATATGTTTGGCAACACAGACGCCGTTGTGAAGTTCGTTCTTGAAGGACACGATCGCGGTGTCAATTGGGTTGCGTTCCACCCTACGCTACCCTTGATTGTATCCGCTGGCGACGACCGTCTTGTCAAGCTTTGGAGAATGTCGGAAACCAAGGCCTGGGAAGTCGACACGTGCCGAGGACATTTCCAGAATGCCTCCGCGTGTTTATTCCACCCCCATCAGGATCTAATATTATCTGTGGGCGAAGACAAGACGATCCGCGTATGGGACTTGAACAAGCGGACTTCCGTCCAATCTTTCAAGCGAGAGAACGACCGTTTCTGGGTCATTGCAGCTCATCCGGAGATTAACCTTTTTGCAGCTGGTCATGACAACGGTGTCATGGTTTTCAAGTTAGAACGCGAGCGACCAGCCTCCTCGGTCTACCAGAATAACTTATTCTACATCACAAAAGAGAAGCACGTGCGCTCATACGACTTTACGAAGAGCATCGAGTCTCCATCAATGCTGTCCCTTAAGAAACTTGGGAGCCCATGGGTCCCTCCTCGAACTTTGTCTTACAACCCAGCCGAGCGAGCCATACTGGTCACTTCTCCCGCGGACGGTGGATGTTACGAGCTCATCAGCCTGCCCCGAGATGCTACTGGAGCCGTGGAACCAACCGACACCAAACGTGGGACTGGAAACTCGGCCGTATTTGTCGCGAGGAATCGATTCGCTGTGTTTACCCAGTCCAACCAGCAGATTGACATCAAGGACTTGTCAAATTCGACAACAAAGACGATCAAGCCTCCTCATGGCACAACAGACATCTACTTTGGCGGCACGGGATGCCTTCTACTTGTCACTGCTACCTCCGTTGTGTTGTATGACATCCAGCGGAAAACTAACATTGCCGAACTGGCTGTCAACGGCGTCAAGTACGTTGTTTGGTCCTCAGATGGTCTACATGCAGCTCTCCTGAGCAAGCACAACGTTACCATCGTTACGAAGACCCTTGAGCAAGTTAGCACCCTCCATGAGACCATTCGGATCAAGAGCGCGACATGGGATGACGCTGGCATACTTCTTTATTCCACTCTGAATCATATCAAATACACACTCATGAATGGCGACAACGGCATTGTACGAACGCTAGATACTACCGTCTACCTAGTCCGTGTGAAGGGCCGGAATGTGTACTGCCTGGACCGTGCGGCGAAACCCAAGGTACTCCAGATCGACCCGACCGAATATCGGTTCAAGCTCGCCCTAGTTAAACGAAACTACGACGAGATGTTGAATATCATCAAGACATCCAGTTTAGTTGGTCAAAGCATCATTTCGTATCTCCAGAAGAAAGGATATCCCGAAATCGCTCTACAATTCGTCCAGGATCCACAGACTCGCTTCGAGCTTGCCATAGAATGTGGCAACCTTGAAGTTGCGGTTGAGATGGCCAAGCAGCTTGACCGCCCGCAGCTCTGGCAACGCTTGAGTACCGAGGCTCTTGCTCACGGAAACCACCAAGTTGTAGAGATGACCTACCAGAAGCTCCGCAATTTCGACAAGCTCTCGTTCTTATACCTTGCTACCGGCGATCAAGAAAAGCTAAAACGAATGGCCAAAATTGCCGAGCACCGTGGTGACATGACGGCACGATTCCAGAATGCGCTGTATCTAGGAGACGTACAAAACCGGATTGATATGTTCCAGGAGATTGACCTTTATCCGCTGGCATATATGACCGCCAAGTCGCATGGCCTGGAAGAGCAAGCCCAATCAATTCTGGAAGCTAGTGGACTCACTGAAGACCAGATCAGTGCTCCAACTCTAGGCAAGCCGTTAACACCAGTGAGGCCAATCGTTCCTACCTTTAAGGCCAATTGGCCTGTTCGTGGCACATCCTCATCCATCTTTGAGAAAGCATTGATGGGCCAGTCAGAAGGCATCGAAGATGATGTGCCGGCTACGAATGGCCACGGTGACGAAGACCTTTTGGAACCAGAAGTCAGTGCTACCGGCCAGCTGGACGATGGAGAAGAGGACGAAGACGTGGGCGGCTGGGACATGGGCGACGACGTCGATGTCGAGGACGAGGGCGATTTCGTCAACGTTGAGGGTGTTGATGCGGGAGCTGGCAGTAGCGAAGCTGATATGTGGGCTCGAAACTCACCTATTGCGGCTGACCACATTGCTGCCGGCTCGTTCGAAACCGCGATGCAACTGCTAAACCGACAGGTCGGCGCAGTCAACTTCCAGCCATTACAAGCCCGGTTCGAAGAGATTTACCAGGCATCAAGGACTTTCCTCCCCGCCAATCCAGGCTTACCGTCATTGGTCAATTACGTCCGCAGGACAGTTGACGAGACCGACTCGAGAAAGCTTCTCCCTGTCATCCCTCGCGACCTCGAATCCATCACAGCCGGCGAATTCCAGGGTGGAAAGTCTGCTATGGTCAAGAACAAGCTTGAAGATGGCGTGAAAATCTTCAAGAAACTTCTCCTACTCCTTATGGTAAACGCTGTGTCGTCACAGTCAGAGCTGAGCGACGTACGTACCATAAATTTCAAGGGTCCAACCCAAATTCTGACAAACCTCACAGGCAAAGAAAACCATCACAACCGCCGCCCAATACATCCTCGCCATGTCCATTGAGCTCCAACGCCGCGCCCTCATCGCCTCCTCCCCAACCGACCTCTCCCCCTTCCCAGAAGACATCAAGAAGCGCGCCCTCGAGCTCTCGGCCTACTTCACCGTCCCCGAGCTCGAGCCCCAGCACAAAGCCATCACGCTCTTCACCGCCATGAACTTCGCCAACAAAAACAAGCAGCATTCGTCCGCGCTGTCTTTCGCCAACGGCCTCATTGACCGCCCCGCCAACGCCAAGTTCAAGGAAACCGCCCGCAAGACAAAGGCGGTCTGCGAGCGCAACCCGTCGGATGCTACCGAGATTGACTTTGACACGTTTGCCGACTTTGAGGTGTGCGCGAAGAGCTACACGCCGATTTATGGCGGCAGTCCGAGCGCCGCGTGTCCGTTCTGCGCGGTCAAGTATCAGGCAAAGTACAAGGGGACCGTGTGCAGTGTTTGTGAGGTTTGTCATATTGGGGCGCCGGCTAGTGGGTTGAGGCTTGTTGGGTGAGTGGGTAGACGAGCTTGTGACTGGAGGGTCAATGGATGCAGGCGCGGGCCATCGACTTGAGTAATCAGTGTCTAAGAACTGTCTCAGCCACAGTAACGAGTGATGCGGATTGCTGGGTGCTGGAGTGAGAGGGGAGCTTAGTGCCTTTCTGTTCTGTTAAAAAGCGAATCGAATGAATGATAGAATAGAAATCACGGAAGTGTGTTGTCAATATTCGGTGCCTACCGCGATGAAACCGTAGGAAGAAGTCTTTGCGTGGTTCTTCTCCTTCGTCTTGTCCCAGGTAGTTCGTCGACATGGGTGCCATCAATACACATCATCATTCATACCTCTCCTTGCAACCCTCCCCATCCATCCATCCATCCATCCATCCATCCATCCTCACGTCATCTCTTCCTCAGGCTCCCCTATCAACCTCTTTTCCAATCCCGGGCTTGTTCAGCGTGTCTCGCCTTCCCCCCGACCCCCGCTCAAATTTCAGCATATTACCGCATCTGATCTACCTCCCCGTCGTCCCATCCCGCAGAACTCCAGCACATCTGCACTGAATCTAGCTTGTTGACGCATCCCATCCTCCGTTTTCCTGCCATAGGCACATGGGCTCCCTTTCCAAAGGCGCTTGGAGCAGGGAGAGTGTGGTACGTTATATGATACAATCAAGAAGAGGCGTAATAACGGAGGTGTCTGAAGGGAATGAAAAAAAAAAGCGAGGGCGGTCGCTTGTTTGCAGCGAAAATGAGCAGCTCCTGGATAAATTGCGTGGGGCGTTTAGGGGGGGGGGGCATGAGCGAGGAGGCTTTTCGAGGCGGGGTGGTGAGGGTGTTTGGAGAGTGGCTGGAAGATAAGAGGATAGGAGAAGGAAAGTAGATTAGGTGGACTAGGCGTGTCTTTAGGCGGGTAAGGCGTTTGTTAGCTAAATCAAGTGTTTACTGCGTCAATAGACAAATTTTTCAGGGTTCTATTGTTATTACACCTAAGTCATATATATCAGAGGTGTCAGGAGGTCGTCAGATCTCCAAAGTCACTGCATATCCAAGGAGTAAAAGTAACTATCAGATAGTCTCGTCTTCATCGTCGTTCTACAGACAGCTAGTCTACCGCCCCCAACATCCTTACTCCCCCTCAGATCGTACGCATCATGTTGTACCACATATAACGCTCCCCCTACCCTCCCATTCTTCTCCTCTCCTCTCGAAACCACAAAAAGCCGCCGGTTCCTCCCCAAGCGGAGTTATTCGTTAATGCAAGGTGCAGCCGTCAGAATCAGAACGCGTAAAATAACATGACGGGTTTGCGAACTGGATCCGGGATAAAACTCCAAGCCACCTATCCACCCGATCTAGCACCAGCACCAGCGCTTACCGGAACCGGAAACCGGGAAACACCGAGGACACAAAGCCCCCCCCCCCCTCCTGGAAGTGACGAGGCCGAGATCGAAGGGGGCGTTGTTAAACCTTTTTGCAAAAAAAGGTAGGGCTGCGCAAGCGAGAGATGCGGTCCCGGATCCTCCAGCATTGAAGTGCCCTGGGGAAAGACCCACAACGCGGCCAACCTAACTCTGGGAAGAGGAAGCCGGGAAGCGTACCCACCGCGCAGTACGCCACGCCCCGCAACTCCGTCGCCTACCCCTCTCACAAAACGGATATATTAAGAAAAGAAAAAGCGAAAAAAAGCACATGCAACTCCAGTAAAAATGCTGTTGAATATACGAGCGCTAGCCACCAGATGTTGATTTAAATTTCTTTGCAAATCCCGATCCCGAGATGCAAGGGCCGATGCCCCCCAATTTGACGAAAAAGGAAAAATTCGAAAGGTAGGAGCAGCTGGCTTGTAACGCGGTTCAATTTTCGTAGTCCTTGCTTGGTGGGGGTGGCGGCCAAGGAAGAAAGGCAAAACGATGGATGGCGTTAATGGCGCAGCAGCGGAGAAAAGGTGAAGATGCGATGCAAAGCTGGAAATATGCAGCGCTGGATAACAGATAGCCGCCCCCGTAGTATGCTTCCGTTTACGGATTGGGTATATATGAAAAGACAAATGCGATAGAATGGGTCCTGAAAAAAGTGGTGGATGCAAATTGGTGTTGGTAGTGTTGGTAGGTCGTTGAAGATCTACATATAGATCGACTTGAAGGCCGGCGGATTTGGAGCGGAGTTGGGCGACGATCAGAGCAAGTCAAGCATCGCCTCTGGACGCGGCTTTGTGAGTTGGTGAATATCGGGAAGAGGTGTTAGCTACGTATTTACAGATCCCGTAAAGCTGACACTTGACATTGAATCGTCTCGCTTCTCGCCGTTGACGAACTTGTGAGTGTTCTCCAGAATCTGAGCGTCGATCTTTAGTGGAGGAGAATTGGGCGCTAGCCGGCGTAGAACCTTGATCGTTCGTAATAGAAGGGCGTCCACGGTACTTTTGCTGAGGCCTACTGCCGTTCGGAGGCGAGACTTATAAACAGCTGCCAGAACTAGCACATTTCCGAATTGCCTATGACGAGTCAGAACAGAAGAACATACAAGGCGTGTGACGAAAACTTACGCATGCGCAGTTCCAAAGATGTTAGTAACAATGAACCGCTCTGGAATGTGGTCGCTGTCACCAAGCTTCCAGGGAAGCGACGGGTCGACTCCAACTCGATCGAATGCAACAGTACTTTGTATAGCAGCGTCTACGCATCGTTTCGAGACCTCGATCAGTCGCAGTTGCTCGGCATTGAATTCCACTAGCATGTTTCCCCGTGCCTGTACTTGATCAGGGGTAGAAGGGGTAGAAGGTGAACCGAGCTGTGATGAGTCGCAGGCCAAGGGGGGGAGGTCCATCTTGTGGACGCCGATGTACAAGAACGGCCGCGCGATAATATATCTCGCTCCGTAGTACTTGGCGCGCATTCGGGCGGTATTAATGTCCGTAGACGGCGGGTCATTGTCGTTCCACTGTAGCTGTGGTGGTAGGAGCTCTCTCCATTGTTGGAGTTGTTTCTCGAGTGTGTTTGGGACATGGCCAGCCCATCTCACATCTCGCTTTGCTTCCTCGGCTGGTTCTATAAACAAATCAGCAACATAGACCTGACAGTGGTTGCGAATGGTTCGGCTTACTGTGGACTGTATAGAGCTGTTTATGTGCGTCGTTCAAAATCTTACGCAGATGAATCTGGGCAGAGTAGTAGTACCACGTCAAGTTCTCGTCCTCTCCAATCTCCATGGGCATCTCTTCGTAGACCCCCGTAGGATGACCAACTACCGACTGGTATCGTGATACGCCGCTAGGTGGCAAGGTACTCAATTCCGCTAGAATATCACTGCTTCATGTCTTAGTAACCCATTTAAAAGTTAAGATATCTGCTCGCTCACCTCTCTAGTTGAAGACATGTCCAGTAAACGCACTTAAGCAGATTGAGCTTGTAGGCATCGATACTATTTAGCTTGTTCTGGGGATGTAGCCCGAGGTTCTTCTCATCTTTCTTCACTAAGATAAGGCACACACGACACGCTGTGTTAATCCAACTCCAGCTCTCCAACACCCGAACGTACTGGCCCATGTATAATCCAGCGAGTAGGAAGGCCTGCGCATGAGATACTTCGTTCCCACCATGGAGGTTTCCTAGGATGTCCGTTGCATATGCATAGTAGGCCAGTCCTGGTAGTATGTCGATGTTGCTCGCATTGCTGTCCTGGGATGGATGGGCTCTCTGAGCGTAGTGAAACCTGTCCGAATGAGGGCTTCCGCCCATTGTAGCATTCATGCCTCCTGGCGATCGCATTGTGTCAACAGGACTAGGGATCTCGCCCGTAGGTCCTGGTAACACTTTCTTATGTTCGCATACCTTTCCCAGGGCAAGAACTAGGAGTACAATGGCATTGCCAATTGAACGCTCGGGGGGAGGCCGTCTTGTAGAAGGATAACCGCCAGTTTCCGGGTCGCCATGGTTGCTTGATCTCTTCCTCTTCTGACCAGCGAAACGCTCATTTGGAGCGACGTGGCTAGGCACGCCGCCGTATACAGGAGAATAGGAGGTTTTAACGTCGGGGCTGTACCAAAGCATGAAATTTTCCACCATCTTGGCCAACCGCCTCTTGTCCAGGAAAGGATGTAGAATGTCCATATTCTGGAGGTAGCTCCTGTGCAGGCTGCGTACCGTCTCGACGTCCAGCTTCAGTAATCCATCCGGGTTTTGACCGCCTATGTTACTTTTGCTACTCCAGTCGGAAGTGACTCCACCACCTGGAGTAGACGGACCAACGGATTGACGGTAGTCTGGCGGAGACCCGGTCGTAAACCCAGTTCCCCAAAGGCCTTCGCGCGGAGATGGCGACGAGTCTTGACCTTCGCCGTTACTGCTGTTAGCAGGGCTCGACGGTGCTTGGGCTCCGTCATTAAGATCCGTTCCTTGGCCTTTTCCGTAAATCCGTAGTAAGCCGCGTCTCTCTTCAAGTTCCAATGGATAGTTAGTATTTGACTTTTCGACGCCTGTATGCTCGTAGAAGGGCTGCATGGATGGCCATACATCGAGCAGCTTGTGGGCTGGGGTCGTGTGGTCTGCTGGCAATGCATCCTCCATTCCGGGAACCGACTCTTCTATGGTGGTTGGGGACGGATCTTCTCTAAATGCGACTACTTGCGGCGTTCTCTCTACTGCACTTTCCATCTTGATAGGGGCTCCTAGATTAGAATTGTGTCTCATCGGATCATGAGCTGGGCCGTGCATGGCTGGCATACTGTCCGGACTGGTCATCTCTGAAGGAGCCCGAGTTGCGATAGTACGCCCATAAGTGTTCGCTGGATCCAAAGGAGCTGTGGGAGAGTTGTACTCGGGCGAGACGGCACTGCTACTAGGCTCCTGCTTGGGCAATCGTCTCTTCATCTCTCGGTCCAGATTATCGACCTTGTCAGCAAGGCGTGTCATGACATCGAGGACTTCTCGCATAGTGCGATCTTGTCTTCGGCTCGTTAGTCTACTTACGGAACTCATAGAGGGGCCACAGAAGACCTACTTTGGGACCGGCACATCTTTATACGCGCATTCGTACGAGTTGTCTTTGCAGAATGAACACGGTCTGTTCTCGTCACATTTCTGTTTCCGTGTGCGACAGTTGTTACACGCCTGCGACTGTGTTAGAAAGGCACAATAGAGCAACGTCGTCCAAGGCGCGTACCTGAGTAGCCCGCACTTGCTTCCGTTTCATGGCACCATACTGGGAACCAGCCGGCCCATATGAGGCAGACTGGTTGTACTGTCCGACACCGCTGGGCGGATATATCTGGTCAGAAGAGATGGGCTGCGGGGCATACTGTTCCTGCGGGCTGGCAATGGTGTTGCCATTCGGCAAGCCCGTGGGCATGGCGTTGTGAGGCACGCCGGCGGGAGGGAGGCCGTTCGGGTGGTGGCCATATGGCATTGGCTGCCACATCGGTTGATGCGGTTGAGGTCCATGATCCATTGGGTGCGGAGGATGGTGGCCTTCACTGCTGGCAATGGAGCGGCGATGCGGATCTGCAGGCGCAAGCTGGGTGGGTGTCCCGGGAGGGCGGCTCTGGTATGCTGAGTCCTGGGAGTACGACCGCGGAGGGAGGCTCACGGGAGGACCATGGTTGGGGCGCTGGGTGAGGGGTGAGGGCGTTGGAAGAGCGCGGGATGCGTCGAAGGAGGCTGCGGGATGGGGCGGAGGGTAGGAGGGCGTGGGGGGCGGCAGGCTGTGTGGAGGATAGTGATTTGGCGGCGAGGGCGCTTGAGAGAGAGGGTGAGGCCTTTGGGGGTGGTGCGGTGGAGGCAGGCCTGCAGAATGATAGAGTGGACCGCCGTGGTGATGGGGAGTGAGGGAGCCCAGACGAGGGCGCTTTTGCAGCGCAGCGTCTGGATCTCCGGCTTCCATGTTATGGGCTCAATGACCGCTCAGGCCATGCGGCTGCTGGGTCAGACACAGGCAAACACGAGTCTGAGGCAAGTGGCTCAGCGGAGCCCAATGGTGAGGCCGAGGTAGAGTCAGAGCTAGGCACGGCAATGAGAGGTTGGCGACCGCGTCATCGCTGGACAGAGGGAGAGAGTGGGCACGGGGACGGCAGACGAGCGCGGAGGAGCACTCAGCACTGGAGGTGAGGCAGGAGGGGGCCGGCAGGGTCAGGATGCGGTCCAGCAGCCTTGACGCAGCGTGGTCGTCCTTACCATGGAGCCGGGGACAGTCCTGGGCAGCTGGAACAGGGCGTTGCGAGCCCTGGAGATGGATGCGGAGCCCGTGGGAGGAGTGGGAGCCAGTGGGTGCGCGCAGCGGAGCAGGCCAAATCTGAGGCGCTGGGCCCAGGGAGGGCAAATGGCGTCGATGGCGGACGATGAAGCGAGCAGGGTCAGCCGCGGGCGGAGCGACGGCAGGCTTGGGCGTCAGGGCGTGCAGAACCGAAGTCAACAGCGAGGGGCGTGCTGCACGAGGGGGCAATGATGGGCACAGCGCAGCAGCGAGTGGGAGCGGGTTGAGGGATGGGGGCAGTTAGATCGCGGCGGGGAGGAGTCGTGGGCAGGCTGAACGAAGTGAGTCGAGTAAGGTAGAGGGGCGCGCGACTCAGTGGGCGCGCGACTCAGTGTGCGCGCGGGAATCCAGGGCGGCGGGTCCTGGAAAGCATAGCGCAGCCATGCAGCAAGGGGCGGCCAGAGGCCCCGGAGATGCTCGCAAAGATGCCAGTGCCAGGCGGGCCAGGGCAGCTGAATACGTCGTGACAGTGCTAGGAGCGGATGCTAGCAGTGCCAGGAGCAGATGCTCGACAGATGCTGGAAGACGCTCGACAGATGCTCGAACCGCTGCCAGGGCCAGGAGCAGATGCGGGACAGATGCTGGACAGATGCTAGAACCGCTGCCAAGGCCAGGAGCAGATGCTAGAACGCTGCTAGAACAGCTCTCCGTGCCATGGCCAGGAGCAAGCTGCCGGTGCTACCGTCGAGGGCGTCGCAGTGGGAGCAGGATGCCCGGCCCGGGTGACATGTCGTTCTGGTGTTTGACTGTGTGGTACAACTCCTCTCCGAAGTTGCGTGGTGCCGACGTTGGTGCCACTGCGAGGGCGTTGATGCCACTGCTGGGACCCGTATAGGTATCTGCTCATGCCAGCACACCAGGACTCGTAGATGCCCATGCCGAAGTCCAATGCCCATGCTACTATGCGTAAATGCCCTCTGTTGGACCGATCCGAAGCGCATGCCAACGCGTAGATGCCTCTGCTGGACCCATTCGAAGCCTATGCTAACTCGTAGATGTCCACTGCTGTGCCAGTCGAAGCCCTGCCAACTCGGAGATGCCTCTGCTAGGAGCCAGTCGAATCTCATACCACTCATAGATGCCCATGCCAAGGACTCCACCCATGGCTAGACGCCCGTGTAGCCAACCCCAGTGCGAATGCAGAGCGGGGCTGCTCGTCCCAAACGAGCTGGCTGTCGGTTGTGAAGCGCAGGCGAGGCGCTCGACTGGAACTGTAACTGTGGTTTGCTGCGGGACGGCTTCCCACGCGGCGACGTTGATGCCGCCCGAGCCGCTACAAACAGCGACGCTCCCACAGACTTGTCGCCAGTAGCAGGAGTAGTGGTAGGTAGTGGCAGTCCACACCACAGCTCCGTTTGCCTCACCGTCGCGACGTCCGTGACGTCCGAACGCCCCCCGTCGTGACCGACATGCATCCGCCCGAGCGACACCAGAGCAGCAGCCAGAGCCACCAACCACCAAACTCGGCGCGAGAGAGGCCACGGCCGAGTTCCGGCCTATTTGTGCGCAGGGGTCGCTCCCAGCACCGCATCTTCGCATTCGCCAGCGCGCGCCCTCGCCGGGAGCACAGCAGTCGTCCAAGCGCGAAACAGCGACGAGGCAGCTCGCCACCCAGCGTGAATCGCCAGCGGCATCGAATCGCGTCGCAGCCCCGTGGGCGCTCGGCGACTCAGACGATGTCGTACTCGCAGCCGTGCCAGCGGTGGTGACCTCAGCGGGACCTCGAACGTCGAGCAGAACTCCACGGCGACAGGCGCTGGAGGCGGGTCGCGAGTCTCGGTGGGCCTCCGACGTGAGCGTAGGTGGTAGCGCGGCAGATGTTTGGGGTTGAGGCAAGCCATGCGGAAGCTGGGCTTGGTGTTGATGTGACGAGAGAGACATTCCGAGGTCACGACTGGCGATCGCTGGCGAGTGGCTGCATGCTAGCTGGGAGTGCTGCTTGTCGAACTGCTGACGGACAGTGGCAGCGTGTCCACCAGCGTGTCTCCAGCGTGTCTCCAGCGGGCCCAGCATGCCTCCAGGGTGGAAACCGGCCACCAGAGCAACGCCTCCAGCTCCTCCACTCACGACAGTCCCAAGCATCCGTTCGCCAGCAGGAGACACTCCGATCCTCGCGACGACGGCTTTCAAGGGGGCCGGGCGCCGACGAGCATAGCCGTCGTCTAGCTGGGCTTGGCGTCGCGTGGGCGCCCAACGTCTGTCCGCCGCGCATGCACGCCGACGGAGCGCTCCCGGGATTGCTGCTGGAGCTGCTTGGGTCTCATGGCCCTGCCTGGGTCTTGCTTGGATATCGCTGCTGCTTGTCGCTTCTGGACGCGGAGCCGAGCAGCCCTGATGCCATGTAGAGGCGTTTGAACGACCTGCGACCCTGCTCTCAGCCTCCTGCCCGCCTCACAACCGGCGCGGCGGCACTGGAATTCGCATCGAGATTGGGCCGCCATGGCGCCGAGCCAGGAAAGGCATTAGCCGATCTCGTCGTTGAATTCTTATCGACGACACGAGCTCCCTTGCTCTGAATCTCCCGTCGTGCGGCCAGTCAGCGAGCTCAGCAGCGCGCAGGACGCCTAATTGACAGTCGTATCGCGATGCAGCAGGCGCACACATCATGCACCGCTCGGGAAAGCATTGCACTCTCCAGTCTGCTGGCTCGCAAGTCGAAGCTTGGCCAAACGCCACGCTGCTTGATTTCAATGATCGCCCGGAATCCGGCCTCTGCGCGGCCTGGCGGCACGGATGATGATACATGGAGATATCCGGGCATTAGCATAGTCCGAATGAATCGAGATGTGCAATGCCGACGATCGTCCATCGTGCAGACGCTGTCCATTCTAGCTCTAGACGGCTGTCCTAGGCCTGCCTGGAGCAGTGCCTAGAGGAGTGCCCAGAGGAGCGCCCGTGGTGCCCTCCCGCGCGCATATCAAACCCCCAATGGCGTTGTTTGAAGCTCAGACAGCGCCCTGTCTCTTCAAGCTGGCACCACGTGGACTGGCACGCAGATGGGCAAAACTCCGATGCAGCGCGGGCCCCTTGGCGCGATTGTTCGGACGTTATTCCAGAAGCTCTCGCGTGGCGCTTTGCCCGCCCAGAACGGACGGCCACCCTGCCGTCGTCGTGGTAAATCAAACGTCCCAGACAGCACCCTGGCACGTCCCCCCAGCAGCAGCTCCAGAGCTCTTTCAGTTTCATTCTCAGATCCATGACCCATGACAACCATGATAAGCGGCCCTTCACCGCTCATGTGCCGTTGGTCAGGCCATTACACATGGTCGCCGGGCCTTTTCGCCAAAAAAAAAACACATCGCCGTCCATCACCACGGGCCCTGGCGAGTCGCAGACGTTTGTGTCTGTCGTGCTAGCGGCCCTCGAAGGCGGTGGACGACACGATGCGGCGCAGGGGTGTGCAGTCGCCTCCGCCAGCGCTCGTTGGCTCGAGTAACTGCCGTGGTGTCGCTCCCGCAGGGTGCAACCGGGGCGTGCAGTGGCTGGACGCCTGTGGCACCGCGCTGCGGGCTGAGGGGAGGTTCTTTTTGGCTTTGGAGGGCGCCGTCGATCCTGGGCTGATCTTGTGCGATGTGAGGCCGCCATGCGATGTTGCCCTTCACCGCACCGCTGCCAATGGGACGTGGACGCTACCCCTGCGTGCGATGGCACAGCCGCGACGAGCGAGCTAAGGATGGTTGCCACGGCGGGATACACTGCCCATTTTACGGTCACGAGACCGATGCTGAATCGACGTCGACACGGCAGATGCCCAGGATGCAGATCCTGAAAAGCGGTACTTCGTAAACGATGATCGCAACGTCGAGACTGCGCTGCTTGGAAACACACATGTGGCCCCGTTCACCTCGTTGATTGCCTCGCCTCGTTTACTGTGCCGCTGTGCCGCTGTGCCGCGCTGCCGGTTGGCTTCGTGCATAGTGCTGATGCTGTGATGTGCACAGGGCTGTGGTGCTTGGGGTGGGTCTCTCTCCACTCCACGGCCACTAGAAAAGAAAATGCTACGGATGAGATATTTCCCGATTCCGGGGGGCAGGAGCAACGAGCTGACTTCAGCACTTAAATTTCAAGTGCATCTAAACTCTCCCGCGCATTGCCTCGAATATTGGGCTCGTACAGAACGGTTTGGTGAGCACAGAAACGGTGGTAGGCCTCTCACAAGCCTTACCAGGTTCTGCGTCCCTCAACACCAGCCCGACCGTACCCTCGCACTGTAGATGTGGCCATAACTCGTGAAATGTGACTTTTGAAAGGACTGTCTGCCGGCGCTGGCGGCTTGTAAAGTACAAGAAACTAAACGACAGCTATAGAGTCTCTTTTGTCTCTTTGTCTCCTCTCCTCTGCTTCTTCCTCCTCGTCCGTCTCCTCTTCGCGAGGAGCTGTCTAAGGGCACCATGTTCCACAAGACTAGGCATGCGAAAAAGGGGACAAGCTGTCAAGCTGACGCAAGCAGAGCTAATCACGACATAGATGCAGGGCAGTGGGCGACTTGTCGTGGTAGCAAAAGAGCTGGGATTTGCCCAAATGGTCGTCAATTGCTGTGTGCTCGCGGCGCATCCAACCTCCACATCAAGGCACCGCTACAAAGGCACCGCTACAAAGGCACTGCTTTGGAGGGGCTTTACTACGTTCGAGATTAAACTTCATATCGAGAACCCCTCCAATTGGGTTTTCCTCCCATTCAATTCGTCAATTACCCCTCGTGCAACATTAAAAACACCTGCGAGCCATTGTTTGCAACCACGACGCAGTCAGATGGCGTTGAGCCTGAATTGCTAATTGCTCTCGTCGTGTGTTGGTTTCCCCCAGCGCTGTTCCAGACGAACTACTCCCCGAACTTGTGGCGTCGGCTAGGTACTTGTTCCAGAGAGAACGGGAACAAGTGAGCCGAAGCACACCAGGGCGCAATCTCAAACACGCCAGGTGGCTCAACATCGCAACGTCATTCACTCCTAACTACTTTCCATCTCAACACAGCGTCACCATCCGTATTCTCCTACATCTTCATCCCGCACTCAGTCGTGAATAGCTCATTCGTCGCGTGTTCCCGCCCCTGCAATTTTGATCTCCGCCATGGCCTCGCCTTTGCTTCTAACCGCGGGCGCCCTCTTCGTCCTCTACTGGGCCAATTACACTCGCGCACTGCTGCGCAACATCGCGGCCGCAAAAGCCTCCGGTATTGCCTATGTGGTGCTCCCGTGGAACCCATTCTACACTTTTTGGCTGGCTTCGTACCAGATCTGGCTGCCGCTCCTGCAAAAGCTGCCCGCTTCATGGACTAGCCCTTGGCTTCTGTATGTCCATGACAATGCCCAACGCAGAAACCTCCCAAATTAATGGGATCCGCCATTAGTTTCATGAACCCAGAGTGGACCTATCTGCATGGCCACGCGCCCTTTGAGAAGATGGGCTCGGACTGCATTCTCACGGTTTCTTCGGGGAGACTGCAACTATATATTGCTGATGCCGAAGTTATTACCCAAGTCACGACGCGGCGCAACGACTTCCCCAAGCCGTTGCAGATGTATAAGAGGCTTGATATTTATGGTAAGAATGTCGTGTCCACTGAGGGGGCGACCTGGCGTCAGCATCGCAAGATGACAGCTCCCTCTTTCACAGAGAAGAACAATGAGCTTGTTTTCAAGGAGACGTTGCACCATGGTCAAGCCCTGGTGAGGTTGTGGACTGGTGAGTCTAGGCGCGAGTCTAGGACGATCCAGGATTCTGCTACAGACACTATGAGATTTGCGTTGTATGTTATTAGTAGCGCTGGTTTTGACGTTCGAGTTTTATGGTCTCATGAAGAGAAGGAAAACACTGGGGGTGCGAACTCTGTAGGATCCACGGCACCTCCTGGGCACAAGCTCTCATATAGGGATGCTATCAGTTCTCTCTTAGAAAACATCCTGTGGACTCAGGTATTTCCAAAGTGGGTTTTAGGTAGGCCTGCTCTACCTCTCGAATATGCCGCATATTGATCCCCCCCAGAAAACTCCCCCTTCGAATGGCACAAAGAGCTCAACACCGCCGTAACAGAATGGGGCAAATACATGGAAGACATGTACGAAGCGCGCAAACGCGAAGTCATCTCGGGCCACTCCTCCGCCGCCTCCGGCCTCGACCTCTTCGGCGCCCTCATCTCACGCTCCGGCATCGCCTCGACCGCCTCCGACTCCAAAACCCCGGACTCCCTCAGCAAAAGCGACATCCTCGGCAACGGCTTCGTCTTCACGCTCGCGGGCCACGAAACCACCGCCAATGCCCTCAACTTCTCCCTCATCTACCTCGCCCTCAACCGCCCCCAGCAGCAGCACCTGCAAGCCGACATTGACGCCGCCCTCGGCGGCAAGCCCATCGCGCAATGGACCTACGACGCCGACTTCCCGCCCCTCTTCGGCAGCATGCCCGCCGCCGTCATGAACGAAACCCTCCGCCTCATCCCCCCCGTCATCAACATCCCCAAATGCACCCCGGCCGACCGCCCTCAGCCCGTCACCACCAACGCCACGGGCGGCCGCCGCGTCTGCATCCCCGCCAACGCCACCGTCTCGCTCTCCTGCGCCGCCGTGCACAAGAACCCGCGCTACTGGCCCACCGCCGCCGGCCTCCCGCAGGGGACCGACGGCGTCCACGACGTCGAGCTCTTCCGCCCGGAGCGCTGGCTGCTGCGCTCCAAGCCCGCCGCCGCGAACGCTAGCAGCACCGCGGCGCACGTCGACGAAACGTACGACGACGACGACATGGCCGGCCCCAGCGGCGCCGACGTCTCGGCCGCGCTGTTCAAGCCGGAGAAGGGCGCGTATATCCCGTTTAGCGAGGGCTACCGCTCGTGTCTGGGGCGGCGGTTCTCGCAGGTCGAGCTGTGCGCGGTGCTGGCGCTGATTTTTAGGGACTATAGCGTTGAGTTGGCGGTGGAGGAGTGGGCGAGTGATGAGGAGGTTGAGCGGATGGGGGTGGCGGAGAGGAGGGAGGTGTGGGGGAAGGCGGCGAGGAGGGCGGATGGGCTGTTGAAGACGGCGTTGACGAGTATTATTACGCTGCAGATGCGGGGGGAGCGGGTGCCGATAAGGTTGGTGAGGAGAGGGGCGGAGAGGTTTTTGGGGTAGGGGAGGGGTGCAGGTTCTGGGGGGAAGGGGGTTGGATTGGTGGGGGGTTTGGTGAGGGGTGTAGGTAGATGTGTAGTATAGCTATCATGAGTTCGCCGTTTGAAATATCGATATCTTTTCTGGAAAGAGTAGGCCGTCTCTGTTATGTGTCTTGCTCCCTCGTCATACTCCAAGCTCTATCTACTCCCACTTCCTCGTCCATCCCAATCTTTCGTTATAGGAAAAAAAATACACCGATAGCCCGTGAGATGAGGATGTGGCCCACCGGCCTGGTCCTGGCGATGCTGAAACGGTTGGTGCTGGTCATGAGATGTCGGCGCTAGCCATAATGCTGTCGTGCTTATGTTGGCGGCTGGTGAGTCTTGGGAAAGGAGGATGTTGTTGAGGATTTCGCAATCAGCTCGATTATGGGATGGATGGTGGACGGAGGTGATGAGGATGGAGGTGATATGAACGAAGGTGATGCGACGGAACGAAGGTGATGCGACGGAACGTCCGAGGTCAGCTTTTGTTGGGCCAGCAACACAGGCACGAAGAGGATTTGAGGTGAGTGAGCGGGCGTGCACCTACGCAACAAGCCATCCGCTCAGCCACAGGGTGAAAGAATGTGGCTTGACGGCGCGTGAGTAAGTCCATATATTTGGGCTAATTCTACAATCCCCCAACTAATTCGAACAGCAGGCCGGTCGGGCGCAGTAGTAATGACCACTGTGCAAAGTAGTCAGCGTCCCCTTCCGGGACGTCGCACCCCAACGCCAACCTACAGGGGCTGTGAGTTCGAATCCAGCCCTTGTCAGGAATTGACATTCATGGCTGTTTCCCGGAGAATCGCCCGAAAGGCCGCACAGCGCGGAAAAATTAAGTCCATCGTCACGGAGAAACGCCCGGGTTTCTACACCCTCCTCGAGGAGGGTGGTGTTTTGCTCCTTGGATTTTCTTTTTTTGTTTTCTATTGTCTATCGTGTTGCTGGTGGGCTCTGATATCTTTTTGCGGAAATTTGCTGACACTTGGTATACGTGCGAGAAGAGGCCGTGACTATCTTTTGATGAGTGTTGTTGTTATTTCTATCTGCAATGTTGTATTATAAGTGAGCGCACTTTTCCATCGCTGCTCTTCGTACCTTCGAGGCGTCGTACGTCACGTCCAACGGTGAGGTAGATAAGTATCATCCATCTCAAACAGTCGAGTATGTGCCACCTTCATTCACCATTACTGTTGCGGTCTAGAGACGCGGCGCACGGCCTCATCCCTGGCAGTATGTGACGCTTTTTCTCCTCAAATCTTTGGCTCTTCACTCTCTCCGTTCCTCTGCTCCTCTGCTCCACAACACCACAACGCCAACGTCAACACCTGGTGACGATGGCGCCACATTCTCCTTCTACGAGTACGTATTGCCGTTCCTCACACTATGTGGCTACGCTAATCTTGCTATCTCAGAGGGTCACTGCCCCGACTCTCTTCTCTCTGACACCGACACGGAAATCGATGCCGGAGGTGCTGCCCCCATCAAAAAACCGTCGCAAGCCCTCTCCATCGTCGAATTGCTTGAGCAGGTGTTCTTGGAACTGCCGATACGCTACATCATTACCTGCCGGAGGGTCTGCCGCCAGTGGAAGGACGTCATCGACCAGACCCCAAGCTTGCAGCGGGCCCTGTGGATGGCGCCGCCAACCTCTGGGCCACTCGAAGTTCGTCGAGCTACCAATGAACTGGTTCACTGCGGAATTAGAAATGGCGGTGTCGTGAAACCCAACGAGCGTCACCGGCACACCTGCGAATTCCCTTCGATCTCTTTGAAACTTCATCCAACTTTCATAAACCCTTCGGCCACCCGGTCATTCTCCTCCTCTCGCACAACGGATGGGTCAAGTCTACGTCAAACCCACTGGATAGTGACATCGAAACAGCCGAGCTTTACCTCTACTACCTCGCACACAAATCAGCCGAACTTGAGTCTTGGCTGAAGATGTTCTTTACCAACCCTCCGACTACATGTGCTAGACTGTCAGTGGCACAAAATGCTGGACTGTCAGTGGCACAAATTGCTAGACTGTCAGTGGTACCAGACGCTGGATGGGTAGAAATTCATAATCCAGGTGGTATTACCATCGGCGACGTCATCTTAGCCATCAAGAAACAAGCGTCTTGGCCGGGCGCATTGGAGAATTGGCTTAAGGTGTCCTTGAGACTTTGGGTTGCACCAGAGCATCCAGACTCGTACTGAGGACAGATTGGTATCTTCTGGGTAGGATGGTTCTTCTCATCAGCACTGATTTCGATGATTTTCTGAAGCCTCACGGAGAAATTCAGCTACCACTTCATCAAAAAACCTACAGAGATCTTAGATACTAATGAATTTCCACCTTTTCACCATCATCAAACACGCTAATACCTTCTCGTGAGTCTGTGCACGCATGTTTGCCACTGTCTGACGAGCTTCAATGTATTTTCGTGAATCGTAACGTGGCGCAAGTGCATCCATCTATTTGACCGTCCTGGATACCTCACTTGGCCACCCCCGACAGCGTCAACCCCGATCTTCACTTCTATGAGGTCTACATATAGTCTTGAACGAATTGATATTTCGGCATGTATTTATTGCGAGCAATGCATCTTGTTGCGCATCTACCCAGTCCCAAGTGGCCAATAACCCGGCGGCCGGAGTTCAAGGGCGTTGGATTGGAATTGCATTGAGACGAGTGAAATCAAGAGTGGTCGGACTGATAAGAGAACTTGCATTAAACGTTTCAGTATAGCTACAACAGCAACAAGTCTACCTAAAGCAGTATGGCAAGGGGCGGGTGAGGTAGGAATTAGGGAAATATAAGGGGAGTATAGATCCAAAACTACGCGTAAAGACGTGTTTCTAATCCTTCAATCCGATTGACGATTGAACAAGCTTCGAGTTGATTAGACTGGATTCGAGAGGGCGTAGATCAACCGGCCGCCCGATCGACGGATCGAGAAATGGACGGCTTTGCTGGCGGCTCATGGTCTCACAGACCTCAACCTCCCCCGTCCATCCTCCTTAAACGATACCTTCATTCCCTTTGCCATACCCTCAAGGCTTTCCGCCGTCTCTGGGCGTCCAACGTCCAACTCATCGTCCGACCAACCCTCCAGTCCATGCACGAGCAACGCAGTCACCGATTTCTTAAGTAACGGTTGATGCCGTGCAAGCAAGATTGAGATGGCGAGTAAAATAATTGTCAACAAGGTCTCGGCAAGCGGGAGAATGATCCAAGGCCATCGCACATCGACGAAAGTGGTGAGGAAATGGGCTTCCCCCTTGAACATCGTAGCGTTGGGGTTGTCGCCTGGGTTGTTGCTCCTCATCAAGCCTGTCAAAATGTCTGCGATATTTTGCGTGACGTCGCTGATGTTGCTCGTTTTGAGGAAGTTGCCGAGATTCATGGAGCCAACTGTTGCATCATATCCAAGAGCGGTGGTGTTGAGCTCGTGGTAGAGGCACTGAAATACGGAAGTTATAGCTTCATAGCCGTTATTATACACTTTTTTCGTCGAGTTTGCACGGAGAGAGTACTTCAGTACGCCAGTACGCCAGGACCCATTTGAAATAACCGTTCCGATCGAGGTGGCTTTGGATCCAGCCCCCCTAGTGTCGCAGTGAGCCCATGATAAGTCTGTGCACACCAAAACCAGGTAGAGTAGTACACCTCAAGTCCCCGTACGTCAACTGGTCCCCGCTCGTCAGCTGATTGTAATGGCTGTGGTGGTCCCCCGATGACCGTGGAGATATTGATCACAGCCATTGAGCCGATCCACTCCGTTTGGGGTTCAGGCTGCGGATAGATATGCTGATGCTGTCGTTGATAGAAATGATTGACCACTGAACGCTTCGCCGGGGTCTCCCCACCCCATGGTGGTATTCTGGCCGATATTGAGTCCCGGGAAATCGAAAGTGCAAAAATACGGAGTAGTATCTGAATGATCTTGATATTTACAATTGTGTGTGGTAATGTTAGTGACGTTTCTGAAATCGCTGCACAACCCAAGCGTTGTGAAATCTTCCCAAGAGCATTGGGTGGCTAGGGAGGCGCATTCCATCCTTAGCTAAAAGACATTCCCGGTTATTCCGCCAAGGATATGATTTTGCATAGCCCACACATCTTCAACGGTGTCTGTTCCAAATGTCAGTATATACTTAAAGTGAAAACGAGAAAGATGAGTTCATACCATTAACCTTATAAGCTTCGGAAAAATAGCTATCGGCTATCCCGATCTCGGCTGAAGCATTCTTCAACAAGGTGACCCTGTGAGAAAAATTCAGGATCTGTTGTGCACTAGGCTCAATCCCCAGGCCTAATACGGTGACAAGCGCAAGGGTCGATGCCAACAGAGCTTGACATCGTACACCATATACCATAGTTACCGCACCCCATGGTCCTCGCGAGGCATCGTCGAACAGCCGAAGATGATTCAATTGGCGAGCGCGATGATCGAAATGTTGCCACTTGAGCTGGGCGATACAAGAAGCGATGGGTACCATTATTGCGGTCCTTCCGATGGTAGTAAAGACGGCTATCAGGGAGTTGGGTTGAATCGGCAGTGTCCAGTCTTGAAGAGGCTTGTTTTGGACCTTGAAGAGCACGGCGATAATGAGAAGCATGCTGACAGTGCCGAGCATCGCTGCCCCGATTTCCCACCACCACCACCATGACATCGCTTGGGATCTTTTTCGCTGTTTCTTGCTTTTTACGCTTTTGGTGTCATCGGAGGCTGAGTCGATAACAGAAGAAATTGGTCCTAGTAGAGGGGCGGCGAGAGCCTTTTCGTGGGGAATTTGAACAATGGAAGCATCCGATTCATCTGGGTCTGCGACGTGTATAGATTCTCTTATTCGAAAAGAGGTTCCACGCGATTCATTTGCCCCATCTTCGCCTTGTCCCAAAGACAAGACCGGTGAGACAATCTCTGGTAGGAGCTGGTCGTGGCGGGCATTCGCTTGCGGACGTTTCGGCAGTTCAACTCGTGGTATGGGTGATGAGTGCTCCATCTCGGATGGGAGTCAATGAAAACTGATCTTTGCAAGGTGGGCGTGTAGCATGGGAAAGGAAGATGGGCAAACTGGCTTCAGGATTCCGTCCGCTTTACAAAAAAAAAGCAAAAGTACGCAGAGCCTTGTGGAATCCTAGGGCGTTAGTTCGGACTCTCGTGTAGTCAATATCTCCTGCCACCTTACCGCTGGTGCTCGTATGGTGTGAAGCTTCATTACTCCTGCTTTTCCACGCTACCATCGACTGTTTGGGGGGCGAAAAAGGGCACTTCACTGATGCCTACCCAAGTTGAATAAACATTAGCACAACAAAATCAAGCCGAAAGATATCAGGCCCCGACCTTCCGCCTCAATACTAAGCTCTGTCGCCTGAGGCGCTTGTTGGGACCGATTTTGTAGAAAGTGTGATGTTTGTTTCTAGAAGCCGATTTTGGAAAAGTGACAAACGACGACCAAGTCGTGGGGCAGCGTAAAATTTCGCTGCGGGTTTGAACTAAACAATGCACGCTGGCGATGAGCCCATGTCGCATATTTGCCTCAAAGGAAAAGACCACACCACAGCCAGATGTCCATCGCTTATTTCACCCCACCCCCACTCCTTACCTTCGTCTTCTCAATCCGCTCACTCTTCTCCATCTCCAACTCAAAGACTTTCACAAATAGCTCCATCCACTTCTGCTCCCTGCTCGACAGCGCCTTCCCCGGAGCTTTCCATGCCCCGTTGACGATATCCCTGATCCGCGTCCTCAGGACCTTGAGTGCAACCATCGTCTTCCAGTCCCTTACCGCAAAGCGCAGGGTATTGCTATTCAGCGACACAACGCCCGCATGAAGCCGGAAATCTGCCTCGCTACCCGCGAGCAAGACCATTGGCAAAGCGTGCGCGATCGACGTCGAGTGTGCATTGTAGTATTTGCTGCCCGCCTGCATAATGTGGTAGTAGCTCAGGAACCTCGCCGTCTGCGTGCCTTTGTTGACGGAGGTCGGCGCGAGGCTGACGGATTGGTTGTTTGCAATGTTGCGCCACCCTTTACCGTCGCGAGTCAGGATCTTCGGGTAAAACGCGGCCGCGATGACGGCGTTGATGAGAGCGTCGTTGGAAGAGTTGGCATCGTAATGCGCGGGGAATGAGACGAAGCTACGGAAGCGGGTATTGCGGTAGCGGCTTAGTGCTCGGCGCTCGTCTGGTGGTAATTGGAGGAAGCCGGCGTCGATAAGGGATGTCAGGAGTTGTCCCTTAAGGTCCTCGATGTTCCCGAGGTTTTGGGAACTCAGGAAGTTCTTGTGACAGAAGGACATTTCGGAGGAGCCGGGCGTCATGCAGATATTCTTCCAGGTCCTGTAGGCATTATAGGCGGTAAGTAGGTCGGAATCGCCTCGCTTGAAGGTGAGTCTGGCGAGGTCTGCTCGTTGGCGAGCACCCATTGGCGTTAAGAAGGGCGATTTGGAGGAGAGTATCGCCGCTATCGTGATGGCGACGTCGACGCAATTGAAGATCCCAGCTAGCAAAACGAGTTTGCCAAGATGGGCGTCCAGAGGCAACTTTGCGAGCTGTCGTCCAAGTGGCGTCAATTCTTCAGCCGACGTCAGCGCATCCACTTCGATGAGAGCATCGATTGCCCTCCTAATGTTCTTCGACGACGGGGGATCTAGTGCCGATGAGAGTGTTTGCTCAATATCGCCAAGCTTGCATATCTTCGTTCGCATTACCAAGTCCTGGAGAGATAGTCGAAGCATCTCAGGGGTTTGTTGGTCGGCCATAAGTTCATCATGCCTGAGCTTGGTGAACAAATGAAAACAAAGACCCTCTTGGACTCTCCCAGCTCTTCCTCGACGTTGTTTGGCGTTCGCACGTGATATGAAGGACTGTGTCAGACGAGAGAGCTGTCTGCGCTCATCGAATCGCATTTCTTTATGTTTGCCCGTGTCTATCACGCAGGTGATGTCCGGGATGGTAACACCGGTTTCTGCAATGTTTGTTGCGAGAACAATCTTTCTCACGCCGTGGGGAGGTAAAAGGAAAGCCTGCTGTTGATCCTCGCTTGAAATGGTTGAGTGAAGAGGGTGGATGAGCCAGCCGTCCTTGAAGGGGGGATGTCCGAGAAGGATGTTGTTCAGTTGCCGTATTTCGGCAATACCGGGGAGGAAAACCAGAAACGCCTTGCTGTACATGTAGTAATTTGGATCAGTCGATACTTGCTCGATCAATCGGACAATAATGCTGTAATCAATCCGGTATTCGTCGTAATTTGCTAGAGTGCTGCGTGTCGTATTGCTATATCCAGGGAGAGACTTGGGAATTCCAGATCTAGTTTTCTCAGATCCAGCATCTTCGTTCTCGCTTGTATCAGAATCGTTGAAAGTATCGTTGGTGGATGATGAGTAATGAGTCAACTCCACTGCGTCCTCAAGAAATTTGGTCTGGACAGGGAACGTGCGGCCTGGGACGTTGAGGATGGGTGCATCATTAAGATACTTTGAGAAGCGCTGTGCATCCACGGTAGCACTCATAAGGACGACTTTCAACTCTGGTCGGCGGTCCATGAGGGATCGGAGAATGATCAGTAGAAAATCGGTATCAATACTGTTTCGAGGTTAGTAACAGAACGAAAGGTAACGTTAGGAGACTGACCTTCGCTCGTGAACTTCATCAATAATCAGATGCGTGATGTCATCTATCCCTCTCGAAGATTCCAACATCCGTAGCACAATGCCCACCGTAGCGTACACAAGCCTCGTCTGGGCTGAAGTATTCGACTCTAGGCGGATAGCATAACCGACAAGAGACCTCGATGTCCCAAGCTCATTATTGAACTCTCCCAACTCCTCGCTAACCCGTTGCGCGAGCGATATGGCAGAGATCCGTCTCGGCTCTGTGCAATATATCTTACATGCATTGCCTTTTGAAAGTTCGTTTTCGAGGATGAAAGCCGGAAGCTGGGTGCTCTTCCCACAACCAGTCTCACCACAAACGATAGTGACTTGGTGATGATCAATCGTAGCGAGAGCTGCGGCACGAAACGCAAATATTGGCAAGTTCATGCGCGATAGAAGCATTCGTTGATATGCAGGTGTCGCTGATTTCCGAGCCCATAGTTCTCTGAGCCTCTCTGCGTTGGCAGCATAGCGACCTTCGTCTCGGCCAGAATCTTCGGCCTCAGACACTGCTCCGCTGGCCTGATTCCGCTTTCGGAACCTATTCGTCAGCACAATCCCTTCATCTTCTTCGCGATCAACTTGTTCTTGTACAATGGCCCGGAGCTCCTTCACAGTTGCACGATCTTGGGTGTCGTTGCGATCCTTCTTGATCTCAAGGAACTCTTTGTAGAGGTCTCGCCAGACCGAAGGAAGCCTAATGTATGCCTTCTCTTCTCTTGCAGAACCAGAAAATACTGAATACAGAGCCGCTGTCGATATGTAGCCCTCGCTTTGTTGGGTGGACGGTGTAGATGTTGTAATTGCAGTGAACGTGATCGACCGGTAACGAGAATCACATTTTACACCGGGAATATCCTCCTCAAAGTCTAAATCTTGATCCCTGGACCACGAAATAGTAAGAGAATGCCGGCAAGAATATGTCGTCGGAGACGCAAGCTTGAAGACTAATTTAGCATCCGGGTCCCGCGCCCGGACCGACTCTTCTAGGACTCTTCGTGGATTTAGTCCGCTCTGCTTCCCGAAGTCGCGTAACCTGATTGTTTGCAAATTAGGTGCTAAGTCCCCATCTTGTGCCGGATTAGTAGAGTCATCATCGGGTACGGCAGAAAACATTTCCGAGAACATTCCCAGCTCGGAAGGATCGTCCCCCTCGTCCTTGGCTACAAGATCCGGGGAATTCGAAGATGTAGTCACAGTGGTACTAGATTGACGAGGTTCCGATAAAATAGCTTTCGCAGGGTTCGTGGTATCCTGCAGCCCTAGTCTCTTGGACGCAATAGTGTCTTGGGCGAGTTGATTACGTTTTGCTATCCATCTTGTATCCGCGTCATATTGGTCGAACAACGGGTCTGCCTCAATATGCCGAAGCTGGGACTGCAATTTGCGGATCGACGAGGATGAGTCTAGTTGCGCCGATGCTCCTTGAGACTTCGATTTATTGCGACGATTTTTCGGTTCGACAGCTTCAGGGCTGATTTCGAACAACCTAGATTTAATTGAAAGGTATTTTGGCACTAGCTGATCCGGCTCCATATCGCTGTCAAGATCACTGACGTCAATCTCAATGGCCGGCGGAGTAAGAGAAAACCCTGTTTCAAGAACTTCTATGCGGCTCATACGTATAGAGGTGCTATTGTGATTTAGCGGTGTGTTCTCTGGGCCATGAGGGGCAATTGGCGGAGTACCTAAGACGTTAGCATTTAGACCAACCAAAGTGTTTATAACTTGTGGAAATATTCGGGGGTGAAGATCTCTAGATATCTCAGAAACGCAGCGAGGTATGCGAAAGCAGCTTCCCAAGAAACGGATGATAGGAGTAAGCGGTAGAAACAGAAGCTTTGGAGGGAGGTTAAACGAAAACGGACAAAGTGAAGTAGTATCATTCAACGCTTGGCCTGACAAAATTCAGAGAAATACAGTGCTAGTCTTGAAATAGTAGAGAAATAAATGCATACCCGGTCTGGAAGTTTCAGTAGAAGAGGCGAGCGTTGGTTTCGTTGGCAAGGCACTGTCATATGGGGGCAGATGGTCTTTTTCGCATTCGAGAGCTAGAAATTCAAGACATTCTTGGAGCCCCCAAATGTATGGTGCAGAATCTATGTTGACCGGACGAGCGCAGAGCCATTTCAGAGCCTGCTCGACACGGTCATGGGAGAAGGCAAGATCCATGAGTGCTTTACGCAGCGTCCAGAGCCGCACAGTTCCCTCCTCTTCCGGCATTGACTTCAGAAACGATTGCTGTCCATACGCCTGGTTGGGATCTTCCGCTTCCGACTTAGCTAGGTCGATCATCGTATGCATCAGATCTGTGGAAAGCCAATCTCGAGTTGCTAAAGGCTGTGCCTGGGCTCGAAGCACTCTCCGATCTGTTTGGATTCTTGTCATTTGCCGGGCTGTGTCGCGGCGTACCTTTGACGCATGCTTTTCTACTAGTAACTGAAGCTCGTCGAGCTCCAGCTGCGCTTCGAGCTCTTCTGGAGTGACATGATGATCATCTCGGGTTGGCTTAGAGGTCTTGGGGATTTCACTTTGCTGCTCAGAGGGCTCTGAGACAGCCAACGCAACGACAGCCCCATTTTCTAATGATTCGGCAGGACTGTCTGCCTTTTTGTCCGGTTTAGGCTTGCTCGCGATCGACGTGGTAGCAAATCCTCGGGCAGGATTGGCTGCGGGCTTCTTTTTCTTTTTCGGGGCCATCTCGCCGCCCTATCCCGAGCAAGGAAACAGTCCTTGAACAATTCCTCACTGTGTATTTGAAAATGTCAATACAAAATTTTGGATGAGGATGTGTCACGGCCGGAACCGTAGTAAAATAGAGCAGATGTGAACCCTGGTGTTGACTTGGAGCGAGTTTCGAGTTGAAGAACGAGCCTACACTGTATATATAGAGGGGGGCCTTCGGTCTGCTCCGAATTCGACTGTTCGTGTATTGTTGGTGAAAGGTTTGAAGTAGGACTCGAGCCCACTATGACTTCACGGCAGTCACGCCGGGGGAAGTCTTGGCTCTCGCGAAAAGACCCCTGCGGTTATTTCGTGATAGCACAGGCAGCGGTAGAAGTCAACACCACACTCTCTACACTCCTTCAATGGGCTTTGATAATGGCAGGAGCTGGAACGAATGGCGACCACGCTTTGGACCGCGAGGAATTGCGGCAAGGGCTTTTCACGAGCTCCACAAAGCGGAGAGCCTCGGAGCTTCTGAGCCTTCAACAACAGGCTCAAGATGAGGGTAAGCCCTAGAAACTACGTCTCCAACTCTCGTGACTGTGTTGAATGCTAATAAGTAATGTCTTTGTCTAGCTATTTCCTCCTCTGATCTTCGTTTCCTGCTCGAGCTTCTATTCGACACATACCCACTCTACGACGATCGACCCTCGAGACACGCGGTGGAGCAATGTCTAAAAGCGATAATAAATACCCCTCAGTCGGACGACGTTATTTCCTTGATCGTCAAGTTCCTGAAAACCGAATGCTCCAAGGCCAGCATTGCCCACGTCAATGCTTTTGTCCTTACGGATTGGTGCTCGGTTCTTCTTCAAGAATGCGCAGCGAAACCCGAAAGATGGTCGAAATGGGGGCTCGATATCGTAGACGCAGACGCTAGGGCTTTGGAGACCTGCATGGGTTCAGGGGATACGCGCCGTGATGTTCGAGTTCAGGAATCGGCCATAGTGGCCACACGCAGGGCATTGCGAAGCCTCTTCAAGATCGAGAGTATTAGGAAGGATGCTATTACTAAGATCGTTGAGTCTCTTACCACAAAGGGAGCCTCGTCTACAGCGCGGAATGCTGTTTTCCTGGGAGTGGTCGCGGGTGTGTCGGCGCGTCTTCCACACTCCGTTCCGATCTTGGAGCAGCACAAGGGCCATTACTATGATTTCTACATCAGGGAGATCCTTGGTTCCCGGACCGTCGTGCCTGGACATATTGCTAATGGACTACATGATTTCTTCGCCTCTTTTGCCACGTTGGACGAAATACAGAAGACAGTCATACCTCCGTTAGAAAAGGCGCTGCTTAGATCGCCCGAGATTGTACTCAACGGTGTCGTAGCACCTATAATTCAATCTCTACCTGATACCATGGATCTCTCCGACATACTCCTCAAGCATCTTCTGAAACCACTTCTGACTAACGTCAAATCAACCAACCCAGTGATCCGAGGAGGCACTTTATCGACATTTGAGTCGCTTGCGTCCCGTTCGAGAAACGAAGATGCCACAGGGAAGGTTGCGGAAGAGATTCTAAACCCTCTCAAGCAGTCAAAGGTCACCACCACCGAGCAGAAGGTGTTGCATGCTCAGATGCTCGACGCCCTACCACAATCAATTTCGCTGTCTCAAAAGATCCCTAGTGGCATGGCAGCGGTCGCGCTCAAAGAACCAAATGAAGTGGCAGCGGCAGCAGAGATCCTTACACTATCTAAGCATCTGACCTTTAGCCTAACGCACGACGCCAGACTGGATTCGTCTGTCTCGGATGCGTTCGTTAAAGGCATGGGAGACAAAAGATTGCCGGTCCGCAGACTATGGGCGCTTCGTGCAGGCGATGCTCTTTGGGAGATACCCAAATCGCGGTATGCTGAGCCGGACGTTCTGTCTTTTGCACAAGCAACCCTGGGTAAAATGGTGGAAATTTGGCAGGAAGCCGTAGCTAATCCTCAACCGGCTGCCCAAAGCGGATTGGTAACAGCTGCTTACGTGTTTACGGCTCTCATTCTCTCTAGAATTCAGCATCTAGAAGACGCAAAGCTCTCCACTCTGTGTAAAAAGGCCTCAGTACTGAAGCAGACACTGATTGCTCAACCAAAACCCTCTCTCTTGCTGAACCATCGGATTTACTCCAAGACCAATGGCGAGGATGATCTGAAGTGGATTATCCGAGCACTAACCGCAGTGGCCGGACATGTGCCTATAGATGACCAGGGGGGTGTTGGCGACGCCTGGTCGCAGGCATATATATACATGATCTCAGCACATAATCTCCCACCGCGATCGCGGAAATTGGCTGTGGAACATCTATCGTCAGCTTACGCCCAGCAGCCAGCATCTATTGGAAAGCTCATTGTTGACGGGCTATGGCTCTGGTATAGAAGAGTCGAGCTCAATGACAAAGACACTGCCGCCGTGGCATCAAAGACGGGAACGAGCGAACTACACGTTGTCTTGAAAAGCATTTGTCCGCGCGCAGACAGTGTGAGGAACAGTAAGAATGGTAGCATTTTGCAGGACTTGCTGCAAAATCAATTCGTGAATCTTCTCATCCTGGCGCGCCCGGAGCTTGTCCCAAGAGTAAGCTGGATCGACCTCTGCTTGAGAAGCGGCGTAGATCCGGGCGAGCTTGCTCGGGCCAACTTCAGCCAATGTCTAGATCAAATCATTCACGCAACTACGGTATGTCATGCAATTTAACCCTGTGAATGTAAACTAATTTCTACTCAGGACAAGTCAAATGCGACGTTACCTATGATCAATCAGGCGGCGTACAATGCTTCGGCTGATTTGGCTTTTGTTGCACCAGACACAGCTCTACCACTTCTTGTCCAACAATTTAGTCAGGACTTAGACCCAAAGCTTTTCGAGTTTGTTGGACCAACCGAAGCAGCTATCCTCAGAACACCTGAGGGAACTGCTTATGTCGACGTGCTATCAAAAAGGGGGCCAGAGCAAAGCATCGGACGGAATGCAAAAGACTATGATACTTTAAAGTGGGAAGAAGAATTGAGGGCACAGCTTGCAGCAAAGAAGGGTCAATCGAAGAAACTCACTGCTGATGAGCAAGCAAAGGTCAACGCCCAATTAGCTAAGGAAGCAGTCATACGCAAGGACGTCGCCGCTATTGAGGTGAAGATGAAGCGCGGCGTGGGAATCATTCAAAGTCTCGCCACGGGTCCGCCAACAGAAGCTGAACAGTGGATGGCTCCTGCTGTCAATTTACTCATCAAAGCCATTCGTGCTGGCGCTGGCCTGATCTTAGGGGAAAGCCCGGCTGTTGCATATATCAAATGTGCTGAACGCATCTCAAGCAGGCTAGGCCCTGTAAGGCCCTTTGTCGGCGTCGCCACTCTCAGGACTATCGGAACTTCGCAGCTAGCACCTGAGTACCAAGACGAACCCCTGGGAGGTTAGTAAAAAGCTTGAGCGCGTAAAGAACTCACTGACGAAAGCAGATTTGGTTACAAGAGTGCTGTACCGGCTGAGGTTTATGAGCGAGCAGAGGCCTCTGGATACCGTCACCCTCATGTATTGCTTCCCGCTCATCTTCCTCATACTCGAGAAGGGCGGTATTGGGCGCACAGAACCCGAGGAGGCTGATGAACAGATTCTCTTGGCCCTTGAGTTTCTATCTTTCCATACGACGGCTTGTAAGTTTTTGAACCCCATTGCTAGACCGACCGCTAATCAGGCATAGGCTCCGACGAGCGTTTGCCGCGACGAGAACTTATCGAGAGTTTGATCGCATCCATGCAGCGATTTACCCAACACTATAAACCGATCAAAGACTGTCTAATGGATCTCTGCAGAGGCATTGCCGCTAATGCATCTGATGACGAGATCTCAGCACTCGTACGTGGTGTAATTGTGCCAGAGATATCCGTGCGGACCTCCGTACTCCAGGCAATCGATGCCGAGATTGATCTGACAAACCTCGACTTCTGTGAGGAAATCTGGCTGGCTTGTCATGACGATGTTCAGGAGAATTCAGACTTCGCGAGAACGATCTGGGAGGACAATGCGCTTGAGGCCGAGGGAAGCTCAGCGTATCAAATCTTGCCATATCTCGAGGCAACAGACAAGCAGTTACGACGAGCAGCAGCACGCTCTCTGGGAGAACTAGTCACGGACTTCCCAGACGTTTTCGATGATCTCATCAAACGTCTCGAGGAAATATATAAGGACAGGGCGAAACCCCGAGTTCCTGAGCGAGATGGGTACGGAATGCCACGTAAGGTCGACTTGAAGGACCCATGGGAGTCACGAGATGGTATTGCCTTGACATTCAAATACGTTTCTCCTGGATTCAAACCGGAACATCTCGTGGCCTTCTTGCAGTTTATGGTTCATGATGGGCCGCTAGGAGACCAAAACGCAGTTGTACGAGACGAGATGATTGACGCGGCTACTACCGTCATCGCCACTAGAGCTCAGTCGCAAGTGGAGCCGCTCATGCAACTCTTTGAAGAGGCTCTGGAAGGACCCGACCGAGGCTTGGCTAAATATGACCAGGTCAACGAGGCCGTCATCATCCTGTACGGTGCATTGGGCAGACATCTATCTCCGGGAGATGAGCGGGTGCCAAAGGTTGTTCAAAAGCTTCTTGTCACTTTAAGCACGCCATCTGAGACGGTCCAATATGCCGTAGCGGAGTGTTTACCTCCTCTGGTTCAAGCGTCTCCCCAAGAAACCTCGAACTACATTCAACAGATGATGGAACAACTGTTGCAATCCAAAAAGTATGCCGCCAGGCGAGGAGCTGCATATGGCCTGGCTGGTATTGTTCATGGTACTGGTATCTCTGCCTTGAGGGAGTTCCGCATCATATCCAGCCTCAAGGGAGCAACCGAGAACAAGAAAGATACAAACCAACGTCAGGGCGCATATCTTGCATTTGAGTTGCTATCCCTCATCTTAGGCCGGATCTTTGAGCCATATGTCATCCAGCTAGTCCCTCAGCTGCTAGCAGGATTTGGCGACTCTAGCGCCGATGTGCGGGAGGCTTGTCTAGACGCATCTAAAGTTTGCTTTGCGAATTTGAGCTCCTACGGTGTCAAGAATATTCTGCCTACTCTTCTTGAAGGTCTTGATGATTCACAATGGAGAAGCAAAAAGGGCGCGTGCGACTCCCTGGGTGCTATGGCATACCTGGACCCTCAGCAATTGGCCCTCAGTCTTCCGGATATCATCCCGCCCTTGACGGATGTTCTCACCGACAGCCACAAAGAAGTTAGGTTGTCAGCCAATCGAAGCTTACAGAGGTTTGGAGAAGTCATCAGCAATCCTGAAATAAAGAGCTCCGTCGGTATTCTTCTCAAAGCCCTCAGCGACCCGACGAAATACACTGATGACGCCCTGGATGCGCTTATCAAGCTGGCGTTTGTTCACTATCTAGACGCTCCTTCGTTAGCGCTGGTGGTAAGAATATTAGAGCGCGGCCTAGGAGACCGATCCGGTACCAAAAGAAAGGCAGCCCAGATCATCGGAAGTCTAGCTCATCTTACCGAGAGAAAAGACCTCATCTCACATTTGCCAATCTTAGTCGCTGGCTTACGGGTCGCCATTGTAGATCCCGTTCCCACAACTAGGGCTACCGCGTCGAAAGCTCTCGGATCCCTTGTTGAGAAGCTGGGAGAGGATGCACTGCCAGACCTCATTCCCAGCCTTATGGCTACCCTCAAATCAGACTCTGGAGCTGGCGACAGATTGGGATCTGCACAAGCACTCAGCGAAGTACTTGCAGGTCTTGGTACAAGCCGCCTGGAAGAAACGCTGCCTACTATCCTACAAAATGTCTCAAGCTCGAAAGCCTCTGTCCGCGAGGGTTTCATGTCTTTGTTCATATTCTTGCCTGCATGCTTTGGCAACAGCTTTGCCAACTACCTTAGTAAAATCATTCCACCAATTCTTGGCGGTCTTGCCGATGATGTGGAATCAATTCGAGAGACTGCATTGAGGGCAGGACGTCTTCTTGTCAAGAATTTCGCGACTCGTGCCATTGACCTGCTCTTGCCTGAGCTCGAACGTGGTCTTGCCGACAACAGCCACCGTATCCGCCTCAGTTCCGTCGAGCTTGTTGGAGATCTCCTATTCAACCTCACTGGTATCAGCGCAAGGGCCGAGGATGACGACGAGGTTGAAGAAGGTGCCAAGGAAGCGGGCCAGTCGTTGCTTGAAGTTCTCGGAGAGGAAAAACGGAACAAGGTTCTCTCCGCGCTATACATTTGCCGTTGCGATACCTCTGGCTTGGTCCGGACCGCTGCCATCAATGTTTGGAAAGCCTTGGTGGCGACACCACGTACTCTTCGCGAGCTCATCCCTACCCTTACCCAGCTTATTATTCGTCGCCTGGCCAGCTCAAACATGGAACAGAAGGTTATTGCCAGTAACGCTCTTGGGGAGCTCATTCGCAAAGCCGGGGAGGGTGTTTTGGCAAGCTTATTGCCGACCTTGGAAGAAGGTTTGCATTCAACAGATACAGATGCCAAACAAGGTATCTGTATCGCGTTGCGCGAACTCATTGCTTCGGCTTCCCCAGAGGTCCTTGAAGACTACGAAAGGACGTTGGTTTCTGTCGTGCGAACCGCCTTGGTCGACCCTGATGCAGATGTTCGGGAAGCCGCTGCAGATGCTTTCGATTCATTGCAGCGCATACTCGGGAAGAAAGCCGTGGATGCTGTTCTGCCTTATCTCCTTAATCTTCTTCGGACCGATGAGGATGCTCAGAACGCACTGTCCGCCCTTCTGACACTGCTCACTGACAACACGAGGTCAAACATTATTCTCCCGAACCTTTTGCCGACACTCTTAACCTCTCCTATGTCGGCCTTCAATGCTCGTGCGATAGCATCACTAGCGGAAGTGGCAAGCTCGTCAATGAATCGGAGGTTACCGAATATCCTGAATGCCATTATGGACAACATCGTGGGTTGCAAGGACGAAGAACTTCTCTCCGAGCTTAATACCTCTTTCGACACTGTTCTCCTGTCTGTCGACGAATTCGACGGCTTAAACACGGCCATGAGCGCTATGCTTGCCTTGATGAAGCATGACGATCACCGGCGGAGATACTCGGCAAACATGCACCTGGCCAAATTTTTCGCTGGCGCAGAAATAGACATATCACGATACCATCCAGACCTGGTCCGGTCTCTACTCATTGCATTTGACGATCGGGACTTGGAAGTTGTCAAAGCAGCATGGACGGCCCTCAACGAGCTTACAAAGAGACTACGAAAGGAAGAAATGGAGTCCTTGGTCATATCCACTCGTCAAGTGCTTGGCCAAGTCGGTGTTGCTGGCTCTAATCTACCCGGGTTCGCTTTGCCGAAGGGCATCAACGCAATCTTACCCATCTTCCTGCAAGGTCTCATGAACGGTACGGCGGACCAGCGGACTCAGGCTGCGTTGGCCATATCAGATATCATCGATCGCACAAGTGGAGAGTCGTTGAGGCCATTCGTGACCCAAATCACTGGCCCACTCATCCGTGTAGTGTCCGAACGTTCGGTGGAAGTCAAAGGTAAGTTTCATTACGATGTAGATATGCGCCTCAAGCTAATCATGACAAAGCTGCGATCCTGTTCACCCTCAACAACCTTCTTGAGAAAATTCCAACATATCTGAAGCCCTTCTTACCACAACTGCAAAGGACTTTCGCCAAGTCATTAGCGGATACTTCGAGCGAGGTTTTGAGGACTCGAGCAGCAAAGGCCCTAGGAACTCTAATTACTCTAACGCCTCGTATTGATCCTCTTATTGCAGGTAAGTTTCATTCTTAAATCAGTACGATGGCGTCTAACCTGTGTGTGCAGAATTGGTTACTGGCTCTAAGACTTCAGACCAAGGCGTCAAGAACGCCATGCTCAAGGCTTTGTTCGAGGTTGTAAGCAAGGCGGGTGCTAACATGAATGAGGCTTCGAGGAATGCAATTCTTGGACTCATCGACCAAGACACTGGTGATGCCGATGGTATGCATTTCCCGGGTAGTATCTATTTAGTTGCTAACTGAGCGTAGATGCCACCGCGATAACAAATGCACGTCTTCTTGGAGCCTTGATTGGAAATCTGCCATCAGACGTCGCAGCTAGTTTAATCAAGTAGGCCAGCTCTTATCCTCGAACCTCAGAAAAGTCGCTTACATTTCACAGGAGCCGAGTCCTCACACGCCATTTCAGCAAATCATCAGTGCTCGCCCTGAACGCCATTCTCCTAGACTCTCCAGACGCATTGACAGAGAGCTTTGCTGAGGAGACGATAGCAATCATCGGTCATGGAATCGGTGAAAGCGTGAGTGGTCTCCAAAGTTCATTCCATATCACTGTCGCTAATAAATTTGCAGCAACCTGTTATCGCCACCAACTGCATACTAGCAGCGGGGAAATATCTCCTGACCGAGTCGACAAACAAGAGTTTCGAAGCCACCAAAACCATTTTCGAAGCCCTTGCTCCAGTCATCCAGCCAGGCCACCCTGTAGATACGCGACGTATAGCCCTCGTGGTCGTCCGGACAGTTAGTCGGGAGAACAACGATCTGATACGACCTCATCTATCTCTATTAGCACCTTCCATCTTTGCCAGCGTCAGAGATCCAGTCATTCCCGTCAAGCTGTCCGCGGAAGCAGCATTCTTGGCAATCTTCTCGGTGGTAGAAGAGGAGAGCGCGGTCTTCGAAAAATACATGGCCGGCCCCGGTGCAAGCGCGCCTGCGCAGACCAAGCGTCTAATGCAAGACTACTTCAAACGGGTCGCGGTCAGGCTGGGAAGTCAAGCTAGGGAACGGAAGGAGGCTGAGGGTGGTCAAGGAGGTCTAGGCCTTTCGAGTGACGAGAAGGAAGATGAGCGTGAGGTGTGGAGTGTGGGCAAAGTGGATCTTGGGGAAGGCGCTTTTGGTGAGGAGTAGGGGATTTGATGGCTTTGTTGATGTTGATTTACGAGTTACGAGCATGCATTGGGGGTTACATAGCGATCGGGGAGTGGTCTTGAGAGAGTGTATCCCTGGAATAAAAGCGTGTTTGAACTACAGACGTCGGTGCATTGAGTTACCCAGTGCATCAACAAGAAGATGTGATTAACGATCCCAGCAAGGAGATTTCATCTCGATGGGGGTGGGTCCGGGCTACACCCAGAAATGCCCTACGAGTGCATAGGCGTGATGAATAACAACGACGAGAATCGCCCATCACTACCTCACCCCGCTCACGAGGCGTGGTTACTTGTGTGACTTGTTCCAACCATATAGCATACCTAAGTCACTTACTATCTAAGTCCTACTATTTTCCCTATATATCGCTAGGCTCCTTATATATAGGGGAAACATAGATAACAAGCGCTAGGCCAGCGTAGAAACCTTATTTGTACCCTTTTATAGGCTCTATGTTTAACGCTTTTAGAGCTGACGAGGTAAAATAGAAGCCGAAAGCGGTAAGACACGCCGGGCGGTTGCAAAAACACACAGAAGTAACTACGCGGCGTGCCTAATTCCAGCACTATCTAAACTTCTAACATAAGCCCTCTATCGCTAGGCGCCTTATATATAGAGGACATACACACAAAACGCGCTAGTCTAGCGTATAAACTTTATTTGCACTATTTTATAGGCTCTGTGTTCCACGCTTTTGGAGGTGATTCCGGAAGCGGCAAAGCAACCACGTGGAGGCAGAGAAGAGGCGTGACGAACTTATGACGTCGTTGCTCGCACTCTGCTACTCACTTTGGCAAGTCTTGGCTGCCAAGAAGTTCAGAGGTGTTGAGTCGGGGAAAGCTGAATTTTGAGGACTTTCGGGGCGACGGCCACCTTTTTGGATATAGCTCAACAACCACAACTCGTAGAACAGAAATGGAACCGAGACTAGATTCGTCTAATGCAAGAGTATTTTTGGTGAAGGTTTTGGAAAGAGATTAAACCGCACCGACAAGATAATGGGGGGTTGCAGGCTGCGCCCAGCAAAAACCGCACTCATCTACCTACGTTTTGGCCTCTAACACTGCCGTAACCTACCACAGTCCTCGTTCCTACTGCTTACCTTCATAGTCCCTCTTCCACACGCTCGCAAACTTCTCTTTATCCACCGCAAACTCCTCCAGAAACTCCCTCTCCAGATCATGCGTCCTCCTCCCTAGCAACACCAGACTATGCAACGGCCGACCCAAATCAGCATCACATAGCTCTCCAAGCGTGCCAGCGACAATCTTCTCGTCCACCGCGCCCACCCTGGCTACACCAACCGCCAGCGACTCCCGCGTATACACCCCCTCCTTCTTGACCTCCTCCTCAATCTCCAGCATCTGCGCCGCGCACTGCGCTACCGTCATGAACCGCGGGGGCTCATAGATCAATCGGCCCCGCGCCATGTTCTCCAGCGACTGCTCTTTGACCTTAATGTCGAGGAGGACGAGGGTGTGTAGGCCTATGGAGACGTTCTCGGCGATGCGGTCGTAGAAGGAGGCCGGGCGCCAAGTTTCGAGAAAGAAGACCATGGAGACGGTTTGGCCGAAGTTGTAGAGTTGGAGCCCAGTAGTGCCGATGGAGGTGAGGATGGAGGCGTTGGGGATGGAGCGCGTAGGGACGGAGAGGGAGCGCGCGCGGAGGACGAGGTCGGTGTGGGTTGTTGCGCTGGGAAGGATGCAGGTTAGTATTGGGGTTATGTATAGGCAAAATAGGGGCAGAGGAGGGAGTAGTACCCGAATGGATCGCCGACAACGAGGAATGCGACGTCGGTTTTGTCTGCGCCGGCGAGGATTTCGTCGCTGGAGGATTCGACCATTTCGCGGTCGGCGATTATGACGGGACGGCCATAGAAGGCTTCCTACTGTTGCGTAGCAAGCAAGTAAGCATGTTTGTAACTATGCTGGAGACCTTGAATTGGGACACTACCAATTGTTCTTTCTCCACAAGAAGGATAGCCGTGTATGCCTCAAGGTAGACGCGTTCGGCCTTCTTAACAATTTCAAGGCCCTTGACTGTGATGTCCTTCTCATCGGCCAGGCCGAGACCCACAAGATAGAGCATCGTAAGGGTATTGATTTGGAGCAGTGTCGATGAGGGGTTATGTAAAAAGTTTGGTAGAGGGGGGAAAGCCGTAGGGCTGAACGCTAGTCAGAGCGTCAAAGCGTCGATTCACCAGCCTCCCATTTCACCTGCGCAACTTCATCTTTCCTCCATCATTCCTCCACCTACCACCTGTCTACCGCTGTTCTTGCATTCTGGTATAACGGTGATATTTAGCGACTGTATGATCTTTACTGTTCACCATGGCGGACAAGGACAAGCTAGCGAAGTACCGGACGGAGATCCAACAGGTCAGTACGGCGCGCTTCACTATATTCACTTGATATGTTCTCTTTCTCCTCAACGTAAAGAGCCCATTGCCAAAGATATGGAGGCGTTTTTAGTTCTTCACTGCTCTTGTCTCGCTGCTCTTCACTTTCATCCCATCTCGTCCCGTCTCATTCAGCTCAACTTCACATAAAACTACACCATCGTAGCCCTCCTTTCCTCAATCAGTCTCTCCCTTTACACACGCTCCTTCTCTCCAATCATTTCCACCACCATGGCCACCTACACGCCCAACCCGTTCTCCTGGCTCGAAGACTTCCGCTCTAACATTATCCGCCAGATGATGTTCGTCTCCGGCGAAACCGGTGAACCCAGCGCCGAAACCACCACCCTCATCGAATCCATCGTCCAGCAGCAAGTCCAAGAGATGCTCCGCGAATGCACCAACCTCGCGACGCGCCGCGGCTCCCGCTCCATCTCCACCGACGATCTCATGATGCTCATCCGCCACGACCGCGCCAAGATCTCCCGTCTGCGCCACTTCCTCCAGTGGAAAGATGTCCGCCGCTCCGTAAAAGACAACTCCGACGACAAAGGCGGCGATGCGGGTGCCGACATTGGTGCCGGCGACGCTGACATCGCTGGCGTGGCGGGCGGTAGCGGGCCAGCCGTCGAGACAGGCAAAAAGGCGAAACGCGCGAAGGTCGATCTGGTGTGGGAGCCGCAGTCGTTCTATAACGAGTTCGTGCCGGCCCGTGACGACGACAACGACGAGGAGGAGGACGAACAGAACTTCGCAACCCTTCAACGGCTCAAAAATGCGGACGAGCGCACGAAGAATATGACGCGCGAGGAGTATGTCCACTGGTCCGATTGCCGACAAGCCTCCTTCACGTTCCGCAAGGGCAAGCGGTTCAAGGAATGGGCGGGCTTCGGCATCATCACCGAGAGCAAGCCGAACGACGACATCATCGATATTCTGGGTTTCTTGACGTTCGAGATCGTGCAGACACTTACGGAGGAGGCGCTGAAGGTGAAGGATGCTGAAGACTTGTACAAGAAGGAGACAGGTGGCGAGCCGCAAAATCGCATGAAGCGCAAGAGGGAGAGCGGCCTGTTTGATCCCCCGGAAGAGGCGCGCGAGCCGGTGCAGCCGTCGCATGTGCAGGAGGCGTATCGGAGGCTGCAGAGGGGCAACAACAAGAGCAGGGCTATGCTCAACTTCACGAGGAATATTCATCGGAGCGCGTTGAAGCTGGTATAGTCTTATACCTGTTCCCACTTGATGGGAACCCCACTTACAGATTTAGATCTAAATTCCGAGCGATGAATAGAGGGATTAGGACGTCTTGTTTCAAGACCAGCAGTGGAACCACTCTATGGCTGATGCGATTGGAGACTCCTCAGCAATATGCACTCTGATATTCGGCGTCATGCTGGTTCTTTTTACTGATATTATCTCTTTATGGCACTCAAGCGATCTTCGGCGGGTTAGGCGTTTTGATTTTTCTTCAAGGGACATTGGATGCACGATACAAAAGGCGGAACGACTGGAAAAGAGGCGCAATGGCATTAAGGGACATCGGATCCCAATAAGCAGGATTGGAGTACTTGGACATATCCCACGGAGTCTTTATCATCGATCTCGATGGCCACAAAACTTATTATACGGGCTTTCGAGCTCAGTTAGAATTCACATCAATCAACACATCATCAACAGCTTCGACTTTAGCAACATGTTGATCGTGTTTCCCAACCCGCATTATTTTATAGGCAAAGCACATTCTGGTCTGCCCACTGCGGCGTCCGGAGGCAAAGCGAGGAGAACATGCTGAATGCCTCTGCTCATTTTGCATTGACCCAGACGTACATGAAAGCATGAACCGCAGATGCCAAAATAGAAGAGAGCCTAAACCCCCATGGATTTGAGAGTAGAAAACACGCCCAGTTGTCATTGTCATGCCCGTCCGGTATCTCGATCTCGCCTACTCGTCGTCGGCCGTCAGAGCCTGCCGCTTCGCCTCCACACGACCCTGTCGCCTTTCGCGAGCCGCTCTCGCCTTCGCGCGCTTCGCGTCCATCAACTCCTTGTCAGCCCTCTCGCGAGCCTTCTCGGCCTTAGCCTTGTGGATCTGTATAGTTGCGTTAGTTAGGGGTGCCGGGGTGCGGAGTCGTGATGTCATGGCCAACGTACGTGTTCAACGAGAGCACGCTTGTGCTTGAAGGTGTTACCCTTGCTCAGGTGGTAGAGCTCGTGGTAGAGATGCTTGTCGATCTTGCCGGCCTGGCGGTACTTGACGAGGAGACGGCGGAGGACTCGGAGACGGCGCATCCACATGACTTGGCTGTTCAATCACCCGCATCAGCAAAATTGTCCTATCATCAAAACCCATCCCAATTCCATCGTTGTAATCTCAAAGAACGCTTCTTCTGGTGTTTTTTGTCCTCCACATGTGATGAGAGCGGTGTGTCATACCTGGGCATACGAGCGTCCTTGGTACCCTTCCTCTTACCAAAACCCCGATGTCTGCCAATCTTTCGTGCTTCGTTGAGCGACCGGGCGCGGGCACGCGAGTGCATGGTAACGGGCTTGCGGATGATGAGGCCATCGGAGACGAGCTTGCGGATGGTCTGGCGCGAGTTGGCGTTGGAGATCTCGTTGACTTCGTTCGGGTCCAGCCAGATCTTGCGCTTGCCGCAGCCGACGACGGACGACGCGAGTCGCTTCTGGGTGCGGAGGTTGACCCTGTAGAGGCATTGGATGTCAGCGTTGGCCGTCGTGAGAGTGAGGAGTCCATAATGTCGTCAAGGAGGTGTGGAGGGGGAATGCATCGGAGTAGCGAACTCGTAAGTCCGCAGGAATGCGACAATAGCATTGCCCAGAGTCCTATCAATGTCGAGTTGATGGGGAGGAGCGGGTTCTTACATTTTGAAGGCGTGGTCGTCGACGTGGTGGTGTTGTCAAAGGTGGTTACGATTCGAGGTTTCTTCCTTCCTCGTTGTGTGCCGCGCTAATTTTGCCAAGGTTCGGCTAAGCTCGCACGTGACTGACGATCAAAGAACTTCGACTTCATCTCTTCTTCCGTCTAAATTGCACGCTCGAGACAGCTACCAATTGCTTGTACTTCCTAAATATCGATAATAGGGCCCTCTGCCTTAGCCAGATGGTATGAGTGACTCTGTTCCACGGCCTCAACCATCGCTCTCGTTGACCTCGCATCCCGAAGACTAGAATTTCTTGCAAGAATATATTAACTACCATCTAATCAATACCGAGGCGCAAAAGTTTTGCATGTACATACATACAGGAGCCAAAAATACATAAGACCGCAAGAACCATAACGCAGCAAGAAACACAACACAGCCAGAAATATAACACAGCCAGAAACATATCGCAGCAAGAAACACAGGAATCCCTTAGCCGCTCTAAAGGAAACTGGAAAGACCGACACAATGCCAGGTAAGCATGAAAACAGGATGCAATGAAGCAAAAAATTGACAACCAGCAAGAAGAAAACCTGTCAACCACATGTGCTCTACTTCGCACGGCTTGCTTTAAAAGCTTCGTAATCTCTCATTCCCTCGATTGGATTCAGACCCGACTTCACCCAAAGAATTTTCACATCTCTGTCCGTGATGTCGGGCATTTTCAACCACTTTTGAGCAAATGGCGTAACGCTCGCGACATCTATCGTGCGACCCTCCAGCTCTATGTCAATAATCCATGAGAATGTAAACTTGAGCCAATTTTTGGTCGCGTTCGACACCACGCTTCTCGGGTCTTGGTATACCAGAACCTCCAACTCCTTTTCAACAGCCTCCAAGTACAGAGTTCTAACACAAACTCCCGGGTGTATTGCTGTACAGAGGCGTGCCACTTCATCGTCGTTGAGATCATAGATACCCAGGCGCTTCTTGACCCTCGAAGTCATGAGCTCGAGGATCAACGGAGAGTCCTTGAAATCCTTTTCCATTATACTGTTGAATATTCCGCGAAGGTATTGCGCTGAATCTAGCGGTATGCGAGGATTCGTTCCATCGGCATCTCCTCGAAGATATCTTAAGAAATCTCCACAGTGCTTTTGATAATCACGGTGTCTACAGGGTGTTAGTCGTATAAATTATTCATTTTAGATGGTGAACCATGGCGGCTGAACGTACAGCTGAGCGTTATCAGTCGCCATCCCAGTTCTCATACTGTGGCTCATACTGAACTACAGGTGGCAGTCGAACGTGGAGGATGTCGCGTTATTGCAGAAGGCTACGGTATGAAGGATGCTGAATATCCGCTGAAGGCGCAGGTAGGTTTTTGTGGTCGTGATAGAATGTTGGAAGTTTACAAGCAAGAGACTGAGATGTTGCAGAGGATGGTAAGAAAGAAGATGTTCGAGGCAACGAAACCGACACTTTATAGCCACGGACCTGAGAGTGATGAGTCTTCGGGATCGTTGCGAATTGTACATGCTGCTGCCCATATGACCAAGTGGCTCTGGAAAGATGTGAGTCCCACGTGGTGGTTTGATCTCATTTTCACCTGTGCGTTGCATCATCAATCATACCTCTCGGGCCACCCGACATCGTCAAGACAAAGGACTCATAGATATTGAGTCTTGAAGCTGATCGCAGGCTCGAGCACATCTTTTGCCGAAACCTCCTTCACGTCTTTCAGGTTCATGAGTCGAATAAGATCATCAATGTTTCAGAAGTATGAGTGATCTATCGCATATGTTTGAGTGTCATACTCGGAATTTAATCTGGCATCGTGGGGGTCAATCCTTCAAGCAAGAATGTATACTTCTTCATTGAACAATGGCGAGGCGCAAGAAATCATATAGTAGGTACTTTCAAGTACTAAATAAAAGGAATCCAGGAGCAGATACAAAAAGCCGATTCCAAGGAACCTAGAACACATTGTCGCAATGCTAATGGAGTATGAGAATGGGATGCAGAGGAGTAATAACTCCTTAACAAGCCCGCACATACTCTCTCTAGTAATAGAAACCCAGATGTTGAAATATGTAAGCCTAGCAGATTCAGACCAACAACCCATCAATTCTTCTCTTTAATACGCGGCATCTCATGAGATTTCCATAAAGCTATGCACTCTTCCTCGCTAATACAAGCGAGAGACTCCCAATTCCGCTCTTCCAACCCCCGCTGGAACTGTTTGTGTAGATTCCCCGCAGTGACCGCTCTGTTTCTCCTTCTGAGTTTCACCATGATATGAACGAAAAAGACGTGCAATTCTGCCCATTCAATCTTCATTTGCTTTTGCTTTTGCTTTTGAAGCGCTGAGGCAAGTTGAGACTCGCCGTACGAGCGTGACGGTCGTTCCGTAGGTGCTCGTGCGCCCGACGACCGTGACTCAGGGAGTTTTTCGAACCGGACACGAAGGTCATTTCTTCTACTATTCTCACGGCAAATCGCACTCCGTGGCTTGGAGATCTTGCAAGCTGGCTGGTGACAGAGACCAGAGCTACATTCATCGTAACGCTGCGTCGGAGTTTGCGTTGACTCCTCGTAAGATGTCGTTGAAGAAAGATTAGAGCTGGAGGACCTTGTTGGGTGTTGATCAAAATAGTCTCGCGGGGTAGAGAGGGGCTTGGAAGATTGTTGGAAAATTATACCTTGAAGCCTTGCGGTGTTCTTTCGATGTACTCCGTTTCGCGTTGTTATGGCTCGATAAGCTGATTGGGTCGGGCTATCGAAGATGGTAATCGTATGAAGAATGTTGGCTGCCTTCCGAGGTTTCAGGTAGGAGATCCGAATCTGAAACGATGCTATAGGTGTGCAAGCATGAGGTAAAGTGAGAGTCAGTGTGCGATAATAAAGAAGAAGGTTATGCTCGGAGCAATGACGAGAATGTTTTACAATCATGAAACTCAGCACCATAACTCTTCGAGAGCACTTAGATTTGCTCATCTCGCGATATGACCAAATAGCTCTGCAACGATAGTGAGTCTCAAGTAGCGATCAACCAGCAGTCTCGGCTCTAAATTGCATCGTCACTCATACCTCTCGGGCCCCCCGATTATACCGAAAGAGATGTCACACGCGAGTTCAGCTTTTGATCCGACTTTGCTGGCTCAAGCGCCTCTGTCATGGGCATTACTTCACGCACCGAATTTCAGAGTCAAAGAGGCTTGTTAATATCGCATAACCTTATTCCTAGTCAGATGCAGCCATGAGTGCAATAGAGTGACGAGATTTTAAAAACAAGAGTAGATCCAACGCACCAAAAATGCACGAACCAACCAAATTATATTTAAAGAAACTCATACAGCTACGAAAAAGGGTAAAGGAGCCCGAATATACTCCCTTCGTTCGATGAAACCTCACGGAGTCTATCCATTTCCGTCTTCACCTCCTCCCACACCAACCTACCGCCCCGCCACGCCCACCCCAACAATTTGAAATGAGAAAAACAGAAAGCTCCTCTTCACCAAGCCACATCCCAAACCTCCAAGACACCCCTCCACAACGAAGAATCCCCTACCCCCTCCGACGTCTCCATGGATCTTTATGATTCACTTCATGCCGCCATTCCATCCTATCCCCTCCCCTATCCAACATCGAGCTACCCGGCTCAATAGCCTCCGGTTCCTCGACAATGCACCACTGTTCTTCATTCCCTTGGGGCGCCGGCTGCGAGGAGGGGCCTTGCGGGGTAAGATCTCCGCTGTGCATGGTCCTTTCTCCGGGTTGACTCGCAGCTGTGTGTGGCTGAGTGCCGGGTTCAGATGCGGATAAGAGCTGTGAAAGATGCGCTCTTTGCTCTGCATGGGCGTTGTCTCTCGTGTTGTAACTGGGCTGGGGTGCGCTGTCGCGTGGATAATTGCCGCACCCATGTGCATCCGGAGCCGGTTGGGGACTAGGGTGGTATTGAGGCATGACCGTTTGAGCGGGAATGAAGAGAGCGGGATTTCCGGTGGTCTGGTAGACGGCTATGTTCAAGATGAATTCGTGCGTGCTCGGCGGGTGTTGGTTTGAGGATTCTTCGTAATTGTAGCAAGAAGGGAGATACTGCCATTCCCATCGTGGGTCTCCGGTTGGATATGAGGGGTTTGAAGAACGGGCCGCAACGTAAATGTTCGTTTCTTCCTCCGGGTTAGAGTATCGGGGGCCGGAGTTCGCTGGATGCTGCTGATAGTGGCTCAACAGATTGGCCATAGTGATCTATCGCCTGTGAAGAAATGGAATGCGAGCGTGTAAGGTATCTGTACGAAGAGAGCTGGATGCCTCAAGAGGGCAACGAATCTGGGTATACGATATTGGATCGTGAAACAGTGTGCGAATGTCGTAGCAAAATATTAGTAGATTGGCAAGTGATATTCTAAAGGAAGGAAATACCCATCGAACTGACTGAACGTTTATATCCATCGCCAAGGACAGTGACTCTCCAATGCCGCTTAGAATTGCTCATTCTACTACGATGAGGATGTTTTCATGTGGTGACCACGCATGCTTCCCAACAGTCAAAGCTATCATCAAACACTAATATGCCGTAGCGGAGTCAACATTTGATGATGGTTTTTGGAAAGCTCGAGTGCGTGGCAGGTCGAGCGTTGGTAGGCACCTTGGTAGAACTCTGGCTAAGCTTGCTTGTCGTTGTCTGCATTACTACGGCACAGTACCAGAATCACGGATATGATGTAAAGTTCTTGAGAGCGCAATTGACAAGGGGCTTAGAGTGATCATAAAGAACTCGCCGTGCTACTTTTTCAATACCTCAGCACAATATGAGGCGGCGCACCGAGCGGGCAAAATACACTGCCTCAGGTCGTATCCTAGTATTATATCTAGTGTTTGGCTAGCCAACATTTGATATCCTCGTTCAAGTATTTCAGCTGATGGGGAGAGTCGTATTTTGTGGACGGCTACGGTAAGTCGAGATATCGTGCACGATAAGGAACTCCGGGGCTAGCATCTATGTACGTCTAATCTACTTATGCGAGCTGATGTTTTACCACGGTGTATTAGATGGGATAAAAAGAGGCCTCACGTAAGACATCTATTCCCTTCTCTACGGCGTCACGCGTCTCCGCCCTGACCATAGAGGCCTATGTATATTGTTAGCAAGTTTTAAAGACCTCCATCCAATCCATGACCTCACCTAGATGTTCTCCTATGCCCGCTCTTACGCGTCTTCCAAGTCCAATGTAAGTATGTGCGGATACTAGCAGGACTACTCCAAGAAAATTGCAGTTGCTTCTCTATTTGCGGTTCCGCGCGAGTGTAGAGGCAGTGATCTGAAACCCACTGATAATTTTCCTCGTGCACTGACAATTCGCCATTGAAAGCCAATGCGCAGATGAAATCTCGGATCGGTGTCGGGTATCGGACAGGACTTCTCAGGTACTCAGCGTAGTGATAGCTAGCTTCAGGAGTCTCTGTGAGCACCAGCCGATGAAGTCTATTCCCAATTTTACGATCCTGCACATATTCAAAGATATGACGACAAGCATCTTGGCTGGCCGCTGGTCGTCCTCCAATGCGTTTGGAATATTCCACGAACAGGGTAAGATCGTGCAGATTCTTAAATTGGGCGAGAGAAGCAAGAAATAGATACGGCCATTTCCGTTCCCGCCACATGTCGACGGTAAGATGAGTCAGGTTCGGAAACGTTAAGTTGAATCCTTCGATGTCGGGCAGCGCATGAGGATCAGCTATCCAGTTACGAAATGGAGAAACCCATCTGTCTAAGCCGTCTCCACAGTGGGTGAACCTGTCCGTGTTATGCAGAGTAAGATGAGTGAGAGTCTTCGACACACTGCTCATATCTTCCCAGCGTAAAAATGCCTCGGGGCCTTCGATATGAAGCTTTCTCAAGACTCCCAGTGGAGCGGGAGAGAAATTCAGTTCATGTATCTGGTATAGCATGAATTCAAGCCCTGATGTTTCAAGGACTTCGAGTGAAGGCACGCAACCGATGAAATGCGGAAGGATTCTTGTATGAGGCTTGATCCTCAATATTCTCAGGTTCTTCCATAACCCTCTCGAACCCATCTGTTTTAGGTCTTCGGGCGAAAAGAAATACTCCCAGTGCCCTTGGATCGAGAGTTCTTCAAGCCTCGGAAAACGGTCGAGGCCATCAGCAAAGTCCACAGCCCAGGGGGCCATTGCGATTCTGTAGTTAGTAAAATCCCAGAGTTTTAACACCTTCAGGCTAGGGCTCTCTTTCAACGCTAGGAGGAGCCGGAACTTAAAGTCGGGGTAGTTGTAAGTGTGAAACGATGGAGTTGTACGCATGATTAAGGTGTGAAGACGGCCGTAAGCTACCCACGTGGGCAAGGGCCCTCCAGCGCTATTTCCAAAGGACTAAATGGAACCCAGTTCAGAATCGATGGTGAGGCGAATATTGGGCCATTTCGCTATTACAGATTCTAGGATAGCGGTTGGTGTATCGCCGGCATACTCATCCCACGAGAAATTCTCCAACCGGGATATTCGTGATATCAATTTGAGGACAAATTCTTGCAGGCGATTATCCTCATGATGTCCCTCAATTCTCAGTTCACGAATAAATGAAGGTAGCTCCGATTCGCTCGCTAAATGTCGTCTCATAGAGGTAATGCTCTGGGGAGATTTGAGCGTGACGCAGACGTTCCGGTATTGCCATGGGAGCGATACCCTGTACAGCCGTTTTGAGACACGGGAGATGAGGCGGATCGAGGGACGATCTTCGCGATAGATCTTTGACAAGGCTTAGTATATGACAACTTCAGAAAATGAGAAAATCGAAAACGGAAACAAGAACGAAAGAATCAGAAATGAACGGGGCCGAATCAAAAGATAGTAAAACTGACCTCCGCTAGGATCAATCCCAAAACATCGTCGTTGAGCTCCTCCAGCCCCGAAGGCTTCACGACATCAACGTTGGGCATGCTATGTCCGACGGCGAGCTTCTCTTAAGCCTCAACTGTCATTCACATGAGCTGATATCATAAAGATGGATGCGTATGATGGAGAGACGTCTGCTGCCTGGCGGAGAAACTGGCGAGGTTTTGTGATCAGGGGTCAGCGTTTCGCTTCAAATGATACTAAATGTAGAAAATGCCACTACTCCAGCTTAATTCTGTAACCAGCAATACCAGAAACCCAGTACATACTCTCACCAACATATAACGAAGCAGACATAATCACGCTTGAGCAAGTTTCTTCTGCTCATCCTTTTCCGAATCACCTCATCGTACAAGGACCAAACACTCAGCATAATGCCCATATATCGACTATCTTTACTCGCTATTCTATCTCAACCAACATCAAGACAAAGTACAACTAATACAGAATAGCAACTCTCACAGTAAGTTAAAATACACAGGCTCGGCATATCATTCCACACAAACCTCACCCCCACACCGCATCAACCAATCACAGCCCCGACTTTAGAAATCTACAACCCTGACCGCCCTCAAATGCCTGAGCCTCGGCTACTTCCCCCAGAACCACCGACCGATCTCTACACCGAGTCGACCGCTATACATAAACCTTCGCGCGCTCACTCCCCACCACCTCCACCCTCCCCCACAACAAACCCCCGCCTCCCAATCCCCCCCCCCCTCTACCCTCCAAAAAAGAACCCGACAAAACATCCCAATCCCCGAAACCCCGCCCCGCAAACCCACCCCAAACCTCCAATACACACAATGTCCGACACCTTCTCCCCTGCCGACGTAGCCAAGCACGCCGCCGTCGACGACGGCCTCTACATCATCATCGACGACGGCGTGTACAGCATGGCCAGCTTCGTCGACGAGCACCCGGGCGGCGCCAAAATCCTGAAGCGCGTGGGCGGCAAGGATGCGAGTAAGCAGTTTTGGAAGGTAAGGCATCTCACACTTTGGGTTGGAGGAGGGAATTGTTGGGGGGGGAAGAGATGAGGGCGGTGGAGGGGGGAAGCGAGGGAATTGCAAGGACGTGGGCTAATTCCAGGACCAGTATCATAACGAGAGCGTGCTGAAGAAGTATGCGCCGAAGTTGAAGATTGGGACGGTCAAGGAGGGGGCGAAGCTATAGGTGGGCGGCGGGTGTGGGGATATGGGATTTGCGTGGTTTGGGATGGAGGAGGATAGATGGGGTGAGGATAGCGGGTGCCAGCGTTTGAGCGTTGGATTGTCGAGCGTTGGTAGAGCCGGGTGGTGTATGATGACATATGCTGTATGGTTATGCGCGGAAGGGAGCGATATAAGGAGAGGTAGAGTTAGAGGGGCTGAGGATTGTGGTCGACGGTTCGATTTAGATTTCAGTACATATTCAAGCATTGTCGCATTTCCAACTTAGACACGAGCACATGCTACCGCTTTCACGAACTTATACCTGCTTCGTCCAACATGTAGATTCACGATGTAATAAGTACAACATACGCACCAATTCAAAGCAAGTAGAGTAAGCTAATCATGTTTGATTGCATTTCAGAACAACGCACTATCTAGCAGTACGAGAACGCCTGCTCCCATTCCAGCCCAGTCTTTTCGACGTTTGGCCGTGCGTAATGTTACAAAGTTCCCTAAGTACCCTCTTGGAGAACACGCAAAGAAGGATGAAAGCAAGAAAGCAGAACTGTCAAACGGGTGTCCGTCAGAGTTTCCCAAGAACACCGGAAAATGCACAGATACCGGGTATGCAGGCTGTAGGTTGCAGCAACGCCGTCGACCGATCCCACCCTAACGCCAATTTTCTCTTTCCGTTGAATTCCGCAAAAGAAATAGAAACATAAAACCATCTTAAGTCAAAGCGCCACAGTGAGAAAGCAATTGGAAAGTGTGGAGAAGGACAATTGGAAAATTCGTAGATAGGTTGTATGATGCTCATCGTACCAAAAGCTGGGAGTCAAGTTTCCGCAATGCCGACTGGTCTGTGGCGCGGACGTTCATCCTGTCGCCTGATATGTCCTGGGCAGACCGCTGTGGGTTGCTATTTGGGCTCCTGCTTCCGTGTCTGCTGTTGCTCTGCTGGCTGCGGCCGTCGTTCGAAGGCTCATTTGGAGGGTTGTTGTTCAGCAGAGACCCGACGCTTGGAATTGTTCGTGCAGGAGAAGGTGCATTGGCGGCTGCGCTACCGTTGGTCTCCGGCACAGCCAGCGACTCCGAGTTTTGCGGCCGGGAGCCCGATGAGCGCGGCGAAGGGACTCGGTCGCCGTTCGAGGTTGGGCCGACTGACCCATTGAGTGCTGGAAGGTGGGGCCCCTGGGCCAATTCGCCTGGCTGTTGCGGTGCCGAGCTGAGAGCCAGTCTTGGGTCAATTTGGTGTCCGTTATGCGCAGGTGGTGGCTGCTGTGGGGGATACGGGGAATGGTTCGCATGAGGCGAGGGGTTCGGAATGTACTGCGGGTGATGCTGCGGTGGCATTGAGTATGCAGGGTGTTGTTGATGTTGCGGGTGTTGTTGATGTTGCGGGTGTTGTTGATGTTGCGGGTGTTGTTGATGTTGCGGGTGTTGTTGATGTTGCGGGTGTTGTTGATGGTGTGGAGGCGGCGGATGGTGAGGGTGTCCAGCCATTGGCGCCATGTGAGGTGGGGGTGGGGGCACTCCATTGTTACTCAAGGGAGGTGGTGGGCGATCAAGGAATGTAGGGCCTTGCTGCGAGTGCGCGTACATGTGCTGTGGGTAATGCGCGTACTGCAGAGGGGATTGTCCTGGCGGTGGGGGTCCCTGTGGGTGAGGATAGTAGGCGTATGTGTAAGGCGGAGTACCGTTGGGTGTTGGAGGCCAGCTACCACCGTAGCCCTGAGGATGGGTGGCTCCCGGTCGGTTGTATGGCGAGGCCATGGCAATTGGGTGCGGCGATTGGGCATACGGCGAACCAGGCATCGGACCTCGAGTAACAGCAGGGACACCGCCGGTCGACTCGCTGACGGTGGACTCGGGGTACATGTGCTTTGGGGGACGGATGTGTCGTAGGGTGGGGTCCTGCGAAGGCTGGCGCAAGTCTGTGGCGGTTGGGTGCGACCTGGCGTAGTAGCTGATCAGATGCAAGTGCTGGCCGTTCTGGGTGGTGATGCTGAAAGACTGCTTCATGAGCCCATCTGGCTTGTAGCGGTATCCGTCGGGGCCGTCCTCGTCTGATTCGCCTTTAGACCCGTCCGACTGCTGGTTCGATCGCTCTCTGGCCTTCCGCGCAGCACTGGGACCTTGGGGCAGCGGTGGTAGGTGAATGCCGCCTCGCTTGCCTTCCATCTCGCGGTAGGTCAGGAAACTGCCAGACACACGGCTTGCGCTCCAGGACTTTCCGTCGGTCCATCTTCGCATGCCAGCTTCGCGCTCATCCCACACAAAAACTGATCCGGACTTGATCTGCTGGCGTTCCTTCTCAGAGAGCCGCCGCTGCACGCGGGGCAGCAGGCCAAGGCGACATGCCTCGAAGAGCAGGATGGCGTCGGTGGGCGTACGGACGTGGCCCTGGTAGGTCTCCATGGCGAAGACAGAGCGAGGGAGGCTCGCAGTGGGGATATCAGAGGTGACGTGAATATGGGTATTGTGGGTTTAGATGGGACTACATAGAAGCATATGTGTTAGTTTGAGGTGTGGATTAAGGTTAAGTGGAGGCCAAGTGGGCCCGAATTAGAAAAGCAGTTGGTCTCGAAATAGAAGGGCCGGAAGCGGCATGTGCGGGTGGAGCCCTGCAACACCAGGTTGCGGCGTAGTGGCTCGGCGCTGGGCAGGATGCGAGTTGCAACGCCGTGCGGCCAGCGAGGGATTTGGGGAGAAAAGCAGAGGCTGGCGTCAAGCTTCTGACGGCATCGTCCAGCATCTCGCAGCCGCTCAGAGCAGTCTCACGGCCCAGCGCACTGAAATCCGACGCCACGGAGGAGAGGATCGCGAAAAGCCGCAACATGCATCCCGGAACAGCAACCGTGGCAGACTTGGCCGGGGGCAGTGGAGAGGAAAGAAAACTCGACTTACTAGAGGAGGACCGAGTGGAGCGCTGTCGATGGACCGTTGTGGGTGGAGCGCACGAAGGAGCGGCGGCGGAGACGGCGGATAGCTGCTCCGTGGGATGCGGCGTGGATTCGGATGGGATGGCGGAGGATGGGCGGAGGATGGGGGATGCAGGTGGGAGAGGAGCAGGAGCGTGGGCGGGATATGAGTGTCAGAAGAGACGGACAGAAATGGCTTGGAATGCGCACCGTGTCGTTTCTCGGACGCTCGCCCACCCTGGCCAGCGATCGGCCCAGAGGCTTGGGTGGCGCCTGATAGCCATGGACCAAGGGGCCTTGTTCAAAGCGTGCGCACGTCGGGACAAGCTTTCACCCGCCGTTGGCTTGGAGTTAGCCAGCCACGGGGCCTGCTCCATCCACTGCGCTTCGAGCTGCCTCGCCGCGCGCTGGAGCTTGGCTGCCGTGCCCCAGCGTCTGCGGCGTCCCGGGCGCGCCATGCGGCGAGCACATCCACTCTCCGGGATGAAAAGTGGACAGCAGCTGGGCGCGGTGACGCTCGGCAGTGCTATTGTTCGCAATACGGGCTGGGATCTCGGGATGCCGCCGCCTTCCCTTGCCCGGGTCGCATTTAACCTCATAACTTTAAACCGCGCTAGCCAACCTAAACCCAATCCTTATTTTCGACAAGCCCTCACGCCTTGGCGAGCTGGGGGACTGCCTCTCATGTGCCTCTCATGCGCCTCTCATGTGCCTCTCATGTGCCGCCACGGATGCTGCAGCCTCCGCGATGCGAGCAGCAAACAGACGCCGTCGAGGCCAGTGTGTGTCCGCGTGTGGACGCTGTGTGGTCCTCTCCTTGTGGTCCCGACCGGCTGACGACAGAGTCTTGACTCATGAGATTCACGCTTCAAACCCGCTGGACACATCAAAACCACTGGACACACAGCAAAAGCGCGAGATGACCCCGCCAAGCTCCTGTTCTAGCCTTGAAACAGCAGTATTCGCGGCCACGACAGCCTGGCTCCATTCTTCCCAGAGCTCCTCCACGGTACGACACGGCATCATCGACGAGTGCCATCAGGCGACAGGCGACCGGCGCAGCTTCATCTATGTATTAAGTATACCGATCCATGTCAGCTCGACACGCCTCGGCCTCCCCTTTCCTCGGGTCTTCGCGCGTCGTCAACCCATGACCAAGCATAGACGCTTGTCACTCTTGGCCCAAGGTTGGAAAGGTTTCCGCCCGGCTCCACACGCAACGTCAGCCCAGGCCCCTAGGCCTCCCGTCGATGAGCACACGATGCCTCACTTTAAGCTTACTCTGCTCCCGCACCTCCCAGCCCGGCAGGAAACGCCCACTGGTACTGACAGGGCTCATGCCTCAACATGCTGGCAATCCCTTTCCCCTCAACCATCCTCAGAGCCTCGATCGGCAGTGTCGCGAGGTCTTTCCGCATCCTCTGGCAGCGGGCACCAGCATGTTCCGGCGCTGGCGGATCCCACCTCGCCAATATTGCGTGGCACGGTCTTGGGCTTGGTGCTTGGTGTGCGCGGCCAACCACTTACAGCACTCCGTACGAGCCATCGTTACGCACTCACCGGCAAGTGCAAACATGGGGCGACGCTCAGCATGCGATGCAAGGGATGGTCCACACTCGGGCGTGGCAGCTTGTCCACAGCAAGACATTGCACCGAGCAGGATGCTGGCGCCAGACACCAATCGCCGGCACTCTGTCTCAAGCCGCGCACGTCAAGACAAGAAATGCCCAGCGCGAGTCGCCTTGTCGACATTGCGGAGCTCGCAGTTGCCAGGCCGCGTCAGCCTTCCTTCTTGGCGCCTTGGCTCCCTCCCTTACACTCCTTCGATACATAGGGGGCCGTTGCGCAAACCACCCCCGGGCTAATTGACGCAGGCTGAGGCCTCCACGCGCTGTGCACCGCGTCTCTCGTCGTGGCCGGCAGAGCCAGGTGCCGCGGGTGGTCCCAAGTCATACGACAGGTCGCTGAGGCGCTCGGTTAGCGGGCAGGGAATGAGATAAGGTTCGTGTTCGAAGTAAGGTTAAATGCTAGGACGGAGCGCCAGCGGAACGCCGGGGCAAGCCACCACGCCCGCCCAACCAGCGCCGTCGCTCTTCCAGATGCCTTTCGTCCGCTCTCGTCGCAGCTCGTCTGCCCCAGCAGCTGCATGCGACCCCAAAAACGAGCCTGGCGCTCCCAGCTGCAGCGGCATCAGCTGTCAGTTGCACATCCGCTGCGCCTCAGGCCTTGGCCCCGAAGCCCCCGTCTACGCTTGCCCGAGAGCCGCCGCCGACTCCACTAAACCTCGCGCTTCTTGCCCAAAGCAGCGCTTACTGCCCGCGAGAGCCTCTCCGAGCAGCCACAATGCTCGCCATTTCATGGCATTACCTATTCACCGAATCCCGCAACGAGTCCAGACTCGCGCCACCAGACACCGCCCTCGCCAGCCGCATGCCACATTGCCAATGGCCTCAAGCTGATCCATCGCCTTGCCATGCGTCCACACGAGCACACCACGGTCGCACAAGCTGCAACCACGGACGCTGAATTTAAGCTAGGCCAAGCACTACGATTCCATCATCGCTAGCGCATCCCAGGATCCGTTGGATGGATTGTCAATACGACGCCTACCCCGGCCCCGCCTGCCCAAGATTCCCCTGCATCGTAATAAGGACCCCCAGGATGATCTGCGCATATTGCCCAATGTACGATATCCGTGCGCACCACCTCCGACGGCAGCAGACAGCATGTCCAACTGTGTGACGTCGAACAGGAAACAATCTGCAGCAAGGGCAGCAGCCATCCAACAGCCAGCCAACAGCCATCCCTCCACGCTTTTCCCGGATGTGTCGGGATCTAACCGTGTTTGCGCAATGCTCTCTGAGCTGGATTATGCTCACCTCAGCGCATCATGCTTCCTCTTTTTACAACGAGGCTGCGCAACACTAATGCACTAGTCCTGCACCGGCAGTCCCGACCGCACTTCGTTTTAATGCGATATAAGCTGGTGTACGACACGGACAACTACACAGGACAGTGAGTGGTATTGACCGAATAACACGGTCTCAGGATCCAGGATCTAGCCCTTGAAATTACTGGGATTTCATGGGAAGGACAGATTTTGGACGTGACCTAGGACCTGATCGACGGAAGCATGTGAAATTAATTTTTTCTGCATGCATTTGTACGTACAACCCGAGGCTCCGCCATGCACTACCATGGATGACCAGCAAAAGTGCCAAGATAGGAAGTTTATTCGTGGAACGAGTCCGCAAGAGGTATGTACACTATGTTCCCGCATACAGTGGTCACATGGTCCGTAACACCAGGGCATTATACGGATCCTACTGATCAGCCACTGGCTTTACGGGGATGAAGAGTTTGATCACCCGTGGTGCATATCTGACTCTTTTTCCAATCTGTCATCTTTTACGGAGTAACTTCCTTACTTTCCCCAACCACATCCTCTTCGAGACCAACCAGGCTAAATACGTTGAAACGCACTGCCCTCGTCCATCCAACTTGAGTTACGACCTAAATTTGACATAAGTCCGCAGCTTAGATCTAGTCGAGCCAATAATACCACTCAACCCCCGTCATTCCTAAATCCTTCCCCCAAGGATTCGACCTTCTTTTGTCTCAGGAAAAGGGAGGATCGTTAGAATTTTCAAGAGCAATTTACCCATTACCTACGAGGGACAGTATTCTGTCCGGGCAAATTCATTAATCTACATGGGCAAGGCCCACATTCCTCCTCCTGTCGGTGTATAAGGTGGCATATACAATCCACGGGACATCCCGCATTATATCCCCGCTTTCTTCTTGAATGTACGGCGACCTCGTTTACCAAGTCTGTGGAAGGCTCAATCGCCAAATTGGTATACGAAAGTTTAGAGACAGGATTAAGGATACGATACTTGGTTCCTTCCCCAAATCTCCGCCGCTCGCTCGTGAAACCCAACAAACTTCTCACTGCAGCGGGTACCAATGCGCAGCCCGCTGACGAGATACGCCACACGCCCGTACACACATTCATGGATTCGTATGCACGTAAGAAACCTGAATTGACTTCTTTGCGACCGAGGAGCGAGGCTCGTTTTGGGGCTATGTGCCGTGGTTCATTGGCGCTCTCTGTCATTGGTAATAATTCATCCGTAACACGACCACTGGGATCTTCGCAGGATGGATGCTAGACACAGATCTTTCCCACCCCGATCAGGTGTCAGCACTTCAGCACCTCAGCGATACAGCACATCAGCTTGACACCCACTTGACGCCATCGTGAGGATAAATACACGCCTGTATTCATGTCCAGTAGCGGGCAGTGCTTACCCACCCCATGTCTCGTCTCGCCTATCCGTCAGCAGCATCATGCCAGGCCAGGTTGCCGGTTTAAGCTTATCCTGCGAGCCGCTGACATGTCGCCTCGGATTGCCACAGTGTGTGTGAGACGAAAGCTTACTTCGATTACCTCCGCGGTTGCAAAAGTCTGTTGTGATCCGTGCACGAACGCCAATCTCGTGAAATGTAAACACCACTTGGAGTTGTGATTTCTCCACACAACATGGCCCAAATCAGCTCAGCCAAACGCGCATTGGTTATTCAATATCGATTTCATGATAAACTCAGTTTTCCAGCAATTGCCAGCAAGATTGATGGTGTTTCTGCCGCCGCCGCCCAACAAATCTGTTCTAGAGCCTTTAGACGCGCCGGCACCAACAATGTCAACACGCTGCTTGAATATAGAGATCCTGCGCCTAGATCTGGTCGTCCTAGGCGTGTAGAACCTGGATC